TTTTTTTTTTTTTTTTTTCATTTTTAACAATTTTTTTAACATAAAACAAAATTAACAGGTATCAGCCATTTTTATACGATCAACTAAGAAAATTGATGAGATGGGCAAAATATCAATACAACAGTGTTAAATGGCCAATTTCCTCCATTCTGAAATTCTGAACATAGTGAATGATTGAATCTGACAAACTGCAATGATATGAGTTTATTTCCATTTTTGACACTTTATTACACAATACACGATAACAAGTTTACCATCATTTTTACTTAATCAACTAACAATGTTGTAAAGATATAGGAAATGTCAACCAAACACTTTTACATGTCTTATTAGTTAAATAATAAGACTGTTAACATGCCTAAGAATTGAATCTGAGGAAATGTGAAAAAACAGCATAACTTCTAAAATAATGGCCCGATTATGCTGATTTTCGAACTCAACCTGTGTTTTAGTAAGATTGACCACTCCTGTGAGTTTAATGACAATTGGCCAATCTGTTTTTCTTATATTGTTTACAGTGTTGCATATATGCTGAAAAATGAAAAAAACAGCATAACTACTAAAATAGTGGCCCGATCATGCCGATTTTCGAACTTGACCTGCGTTTTAGTAAGATTGATTACTCCTGTGAGTTTCATGACAACAGGCCTAACGGATTTCCTTAAAATGTGTTTACAGGTTTGCATATATGCTGAAAATTGAAAAAACAGCATAACTTCTACAATAATGGCCCGATCATGCTGATTTTCGAACTTGACCTGCGTTTTATGAATATTCATCAGCTCTGTAAATATAAAGCCAAAAAGTAAAACTGCCCTCCACTTATCGTGTTTACAAGGAAAGTGCACGGCGCCGGCGCCGGCGACGGCGACGGCGACGACAGACGCAGGTGATGGCAATATGTACAGACACATCTGTGTCTGTACATAAAAAGAATAGAAAATAGAAAAAGATTAATCTAGTACACATGACAGGTCAGACAGGTATCTATCTGTCGCCCTGGTCCTAGATGTGGGATAGATTGAATCTCAAGCCCTCCAGCAGATACCAGGCTGTATGACGTGTCATGTGACCAGCCCTGTTGAATATCAGTGGTACTGATCACAATGTTGCATTGCAATTGCCTTGCATCCATGAGCTGGTCACATGGCAAGTCTGACAGCTAGATATTTGCCTGAGGATCAGGTCCCAGATTCGGGATAGATTAAATCTCAGTCTTCCTAACCCCTTCAGTGATTGGTCACTGGCATTGATTTCTCCACTGAAACTCAGCAGTACTGACCACAATGTTAGATCAATGCTGCATGACACTGTAAGTCCAGTAACAGATTTATCTTTTTCTTTTCTATAAAGCACACTACTGGTAATTATCCATTCTCACATACAACATTAATACTTTTTGGTAGTTTTATTATTTTCTTTATTTATTCTGTAACATTCCAATTACAAACAGCCAATTTATAACATGCTAAAGGGCCTTTTTTATGAATCTGTAGGTAATTAACACCAAGACAGCATAAATACCTCCAAGTTTTCACTGGTTATGCTGATGTTTTTTACTTCTCTGAGGCCTTTTTTGTTCTCAATTGAGTAATCATCAATGGAAGCTTCAATGTGAGCCATCTGAAAGAAAATTAAAGGTTGTAAGTTGTCATTTCAAATTGGATTAGAAACTCTCTCTCCCTCAGAGAGAGTGTGTGTGTGTGTGTGTGTGTGTGTGTGTGTGTGTGTGATATGCACGCACACATACACAATTGTCTTCATGCGGAGATGCATGTATGTAATCAGTTTGAAATTACCCCTCACCTCTTCCTCTAAGGACTGAAGCTTTTCCATTTCCAATTTAGATTTCATGTTGTTCTCGGAACTAGATGACACCAAACTGGACTCCTGTTTAGTAATAAATAATATACACTAAATAAATCACATTCTGTGTTAAATGGATCTATTAGACATTGCAATTACTCAAAAAAAATTAACAAGAAAAATTGAAACCAGTTACTAAAAATAACCATAAATATAAACACTATATTTTTTATCATTCACACTGCATCATTTGAAATTTGTTTAAGCAAAAAGTGTAAGAATCTAGACCAATGTACTTACTCCAGAAGCAAAGGACTTGCCAGAGGACTTGGACAGCATGGATTCATTTCTGCTGACACCTCTGTAATTTCAAATTATGAACATCATCATCACCACTTATGACTCATACAGACACATTTGTACACCAAGATATATATTGATTTTTGTATCAAAACAATCACTTTCAATGTTTTCCAAAAGAAAATGTTCACAAAAAATGCAACATAAATGTGAAAAAGCACAAGTAGTATGTTAAAGCACACTTATATACAACTAAACCTTCAAAGCTTACCATATCTATTTTCAGATATTACATTTACATTTAATGAACATTTCCCTATTAATTATTCTAGAAAATCTACTTCACCCTGAAGAGGAGGTATATGTGCTGGGTGGGGCTCCACAGTGGATCTGCATCCCCATGTTGGCTTTGTCACACACTATGAAGGAGTCTGTATTTAACTCTGCAATAATGTCAGTCTCTCCCACTAACTGCACATCTGAAATGAGAGATTTATCTAATCACAAATAGGGCATGGGTAATATCAGGATCAATGTATTGCCAAACCATGTGATTCTGAATAGGAAAGATCCTAAGATAAATAAGGATACTCAAAATATTGCTAAACAAATTTATCATCATTTATTTAATTTCAAAAAGCAACTTAGGCACATGCACGCATGCGTCAAGGTGTCAGAATCTCCTCCCAGCGCAGCCAAGAATTAATTACAGCTTTGGAAGTAACGCGCTCGCTCTGCTAGTTAATTACGCCATGGGGTATTCGGGGCACAGATTGTGATCACTAGATACCGCCAATGGATTTTTGGATTTTTAGAATTTAGATTTTTCATGTGAACAGTGCCATAATGTACCTTACACTCGATGTACTCAATGCATTATAATGGAGCAATGTGCTATATACATATTGCTCATTCAAAGGATTAACTGACTTTCTCCATGTGCAAAGAGTGTGTGTGCGTGTGCATGTGTGTGTGCATGTGCGTGTGTGTGTGAGTGTGTAGGTGCCATGAAAAACTTTAGGAAAGTGCAACTCACCACCAGTGTCTTTATCAATTTCCAACAAGCAAAAGAGTCCTGGGTCAACATGTCTCATGTTGTATTTGTTAAGTGCCACTATCAGTACCTCTGCACATGTGGACATGTTGGACACATTGATTGTTTTGCCTTTGGGTTTTAGTCCTGTGATCTTGCAGATTACCTACACATAAAAGCAGTGGAATATGAATGTAAACCAAATATGAATAAACTTTGGCAAAGACTGTGGACTTCTTACATTTGCTTATGCTTGCATGTGTACTACCTGGGCTATTTTTTTTTAATTTCTTAATTGAAAATTATACTCAGAATTTACCTTTATAGGTTTGCCTGTTCTCTGTTTCAGTTCAAATCGGTGTGGCATCCCCACAGACCACTGTCTCTGTACTGCCAGAGGGCACTCATACCTGCCTAGCTCACTCTCTGAAAAATAGGTGCTCAGATGAAATTCAAAGAAATGAATGTGGACATAAAGGTCACTTTTTGACACTCCTAGAAATTAATATATGGTGACTCTTTGTAAACATAGCTTCAAGTTCAATGCTATTTCATTAATAATACCTAAGCTCTTAAAATGCACCCACATCTGTATTTTGTTGGATACACATGCACAATCTGACACCTTTTTTATCTCACCTTCACCATTTTTCATTTCAACAATACAGAAGAGATTTGGGTCATCCGTTGTATCATTCTGCTCTAAAAATCTCCTCACAATATCCACAGAAGGAGCAGCTTCATGAACCCTCATAGCTACAGCAGCTGGAGCGCCTTGAAAAGTGGGCACAATAATTAGAGCAGCCATCACAGAATGCAAGTCAGAATTCTATTTGAATCATTTAAAAATTATGCTAAAAACTGTGTACATTTCAGGTAAAAAAGAAAATAATTTAGTAAAACAGCACTGTAAGCAAAAGGAAAAATCAAAAATTTTAACTAAGTTTACTTAGATAAACCCTTCAAAGTTTTGTGAAATAAAAGACTGATTCACATTTTACAGTATCGTAACTTTTTTCATGATGAGTACCTGAGTTAGTTATGTCATGCCACAGTTGTATTACATCAAATTCTTTTTGTTTATGCCCAAACCTTAGAGGGGAGATGGCTTCCTTGAGCCACGAGAACCTGAAATAGAGGGGATGGGTGTTCAACAATAAGATATAATAGAAATTAGCTAATTCATTCTACAGTACGTCAGTCATGTTAGTATTTGAGAGAAGTTACCTACATCTACTTTATGATCAAAACTGGATAAGAAACATGCAAATACATTCTCCTACATACCCTCCTTTCTTCCTTCTTTCTCCAGGCATCTTAGCAGTCTTTCTCTTAAATACTGATGGTGCCACTGTAGGAGCCAAAAATGTGACACTACTTTTTTTGTCCACAGCAGCGCCCTCTATCTGTTCTTCAGCCAAGTATGCCTCCTGTAAGTTGTCAAAGGAAAGACTTCTGGCACCTTGTTGGAGTTTCTGAAGTTTTGAGAGAACCATTTCTCTGTCAACTGAACTACGAATGCTCAGTGTTTCTGAAAATAAAAATCCAATTATATTCCATTAAAATATATTGCTGTTACTTTAGCTGCAGTAGACAGGGAATATCTTAAGACTACACGCATTGAATCTGAGTGATTTTGATTCATATACTGATACCAATACTAAATCTGGAAATACCAAGGGGAGCCATTCTTATGACAGCCACATGGTTATAGCTAAATTGCTACAAAAACAGGAAAATATATATATTGCAAAAGGCCTTTAAAAAAGAAATGTATGAGTTTAAAAATCAGAATCATCTATGTTTAAATCTATTTACCCAAATAATCTGCATTAATTTCAGTAATTTCCTTGCCTGTGATATTCTTTGCTGAAAAATATACAGTAAAAACTCTATCAATATAATAAGGTTACTTGTTCTTATATTAGTGCTTTAAAAGAGGAAAAATACACAAACCATTGCCATAAAAACCAACAAGAAATAAATACTATTAAATAGATTTTCACTTTTTGCACCCTACACAAACATTTTGTCTTTAAGTCTCATAAAAATAAATAATAAGAAGACAAACAATATAATTTTGTGAGTATAAAATGAATTCATATCTATAGGCACTCAAAACTATCATTTATGTACTGACACAAGAAAATATCACAAGAAATATACACATATGCACAATTATTCTATTGCTGAAGGATGTTTCACTTCTGCTTGGCAGGCAATAATAACTGAGCCACTGCTTCTGGGTGGTTTCAAATGGCGGAATTCAGGAGGACAGATAATTTGCCATTATAAATGTACTAGTATTACCTTTGAATACAGCCCTGAACTTCTGTAAGCCCACACTGTCCATCCACTTCAGTACGTCTCCATTAGTCCACAATGGAAGCGGGGCTAGTAGTTTAGCATCAGAAGTGAGAACATCACCTGCATAATAATGAAATATATATATATAAAGAAAGTTTCAACAGCATGAATAATATGACATGTAATATATTATGCATACATAAATCAAAATATCCATTTTGAATTATACCGAATATTAATATTGAAGATGAGTCAATAAACTGTCAACATAATGAAGCTTGTTGAAGATGAACTTTAGATTATTATTTTTCGTCCATGTGTGAAACATACTTTAAACATTGTATTTTAATGATATATTTAAACAACAAAAGCAAGCAAAATTAACAGTCATCAATTAATTCTCCAATTGAAGCTGAACCTTTTTCACAAAACTACATGAAACACACTGGTTTTAAAAGTTTCTTAAAATTAACTATTATATTCTCACCAGCACTCTTCCTTCTCTGTTCTCTTGCTCGTCTTTCATTCTCAAAACTCAGGTTTTCTGCTGAATTGGAACGCTTTCGCCCTAAAACTACCCGTCTGCCAGCACCAAAGAGAGGCATTTTGCTTCCACTGTTGCCTTCTAGATTTTTTTTCGTAGTTGGTTGTGACTTTTGGGCATCACTGAGCAACAAATTCTCATTCAAACTGAACTGCCATTTGTTTTTCCCCTAATAAAATATTATTTACAATGTCTAATGAAACAAAATGTTTAATTAGAAAAATTAGAAATGGTCATTCCATTTCAGTTGCACATAAACATCTTTCCCATTGCTTGAGTTATCTTAAAACACTGAACTAAGAAATTAATGGAAAAGTTATTTTAGTGGGGGAAACAGAGTCAAACATGCTGTTATATATCATAATTGTTGTGAGTGAAGAGGACATATGGGGAACAGTGGCTGTAATAAAACCCCTATACTCACTTCTGTAGTCCCCCAGGAATTGTTAGGATGTTCCTCCACCAATTTTTGAATGGCATGCAAAAATTTCTGTCCTAACGTAGGATCACTAACACCTAACTCAACTAGAATGCACCCAAAGGAAACAATACAACAAAAAATTTTAAAAGAATTAGTTATCAGAGAGTTAACATACATATTCTTCCTCCCAGTCAATTTACAACATTTTCATGTCATAGAATTCAAGCTGGCATCAATATGTTTACCTTATAGCAGTACAAGTAGTATTTTAAGCACCTCAGGTGAGGATTCATTCACCAGTGAGTGTTATTCATGACATGCTGATTTAAACTACTGTACAACATAAATCAAGTACAATGCACACAACGATGTACTCTGACATGCAGTAATTTGAGGATTACAAAATTTACCATGTGAGTGAAATCTGAGACAAAGAGATTGCATACACTTGGTTAACTTAATACATGTACCGTCTATTAGTGTTAAGCTACAAACCACAGATTGGAGACACTTGTTTGTTTTATGCCATGAAAAATCAAATTAATTATATATTGGCTAAAAATCATCTTCTGTCTACTTTTTGCTCTTGTTAATTTAGTTGATTGCCTTTTGACAAAAGATGACATGCATAAGAAAAATATTTGAATTACCATACAATATATATTTTACTACACTGATTTTCAAAACAGTTCTCCATGAGAATTAAGGCTGGCCAATAATATTTGTCATAAAGAAGTGATATTTCAAATATATGTAGGGTGATACACAGGCAAATCTAGGGGTTACAACAGAAATATTACTCCCTCCTTTTTTGTAGCCTGGAATCCTTTCACTTTTTCAGAGAAGTCATATCATGATTATTGATAATTTAACTCTAGAAATCTGAGGTGCAGAAATCTAATTGTTCACAAATGTTTCCATTTCTGTGGGATATAATGCTTTAACAAAAAATTAATTGAAGGAAAGTATATGTTAATTTGCATTATTAAGTAACTGCCCGGCCCTAAGAAAAATGCAGTCCAATTTTCCCCCAACAAACTCACCTAAGTCTTCTATGGTAATCTGTATGAGGATCTTGCCATCAACACCACAGCCTAGGAAAAAGAATGGCAAGTTTGTGCTTACTTATCAAATCCAGTGCTACTTTTCTGTCTGCTTCCGTGAAAGGTTGACTTCCTACTCCAAGTGACTTAGTCTCAACCAAATACAACTGAGGCTATTAACATACTGATTAATTTTTAAAACCAGATAATAGTGTCGCCTAACCCAATCAAAACACTTCCCATTAAACTAAATTAAATGAAAAATAATCACAATAACCTGTAATATTTTGACAGATTTTGTACTTAATAAACACAAATATAAAGCTGTTTAATCTTAAGTTGGTAACAACTAGCACCCAGATGTGAGCTGTTCTTGAACCTCAAATTACTTTCATTTCTCATTTCCAAGCAACTCGGCTCCTTGTCTGTGGGAAGAGAACAGAGGGTATGGATTTGATACCAATGTTAAGTGCAATAAAACTCACTGTGCTGTACACTTAATAAGGAATAACTTGTGAGCTGAATGCCAAATTTATCATACAGAAGCCATAAATAACTAATTAGCCTGGCAACTGAAGGTATGTATCTATTCATGGTTTTAACACAGCTGAATTTAACTTTCAGTACATGTAAACATAAGGAAATATATATATATTTATGTATAAACTACTTTACCATTCCTACTACAATTTTAAAAACATATATTCAAGTCTTTGAAAGAACAAGTTTTGTGGAGTACTTGTAAAACATAAATTCAACATATATCAAATTTTCATAACATCATTTGTCCTTTTTTCAAACTAATGGTTTTCTAACTTGCATCAGTAAAATATTGATCTTAGGTATTATCTTTTCCAAATCCATTGCCAATTTTAACAAAGAATTGTGAAAAAGGTTGTTTTTGCTCCTCTCAAATTTCAATCCCATACAATAGCCTTCTGTAATTTTGATGTTTTCTTATTCAAATTATTTAGCTTTGTGAGATATTATATCTTACAAAGCTTATCAAATCCTCAAATACTACACTTCTGAAATAAATACTTAAAACAAACATCTCTAGCACTGTTGTGTATGTATCTATAGGCATTTTGAAAACTTTTGTCAGAGGTCATGATTCCAATTGTTAGTCTCTTTCTCGAAAATCATTCAACTCACTGGTAAGGATGAAATAAGCACTAGCAGGTCTCTGTGCATGCATTCTTAAGTAAAGGTCTGCATGTGTGTGTGGGCCTGCATGCATGGCAATACTTAAACCTATATACTTTTGGCATCAATGACACCACTCGACAGAGAAGACGTGGAGAGCAGACTGCACAAAAGTTACCTTAGGCTTCCATTAAGCTTTACGTCCATCTTGATAATGAAAGGGAGTGTTATAATTCACCTCCCACTTAAAATTGTTCAAATGTGTTGTCAAATGATTTGTGTACACTTTATAATACCTGTAGAAATCAAGAACAGCCACTGGCCAAAAAAAAAAAGATTCCACACACTTTCTACCTCTCTTTCTACATTGTACATAATTAGTAAACCAATAACTCAAGACAGATAAATCAGCTCAAGATTTATCTGTCTTAAGCTAATCTTAAGACAGATAAATCTCTGAAAAAGAAAAGATTTTTAAAAAAATCAGTACCCAGTTTATAAAATCTCACCTTCAAATAACTGTGTAAACTGTGAAAACTCAGAAGCTGAGCACCACTGTGTGACATCAGTGAAAGTCCATGCATGCACTGGTTTCACCTCCCAAGAATCTAAAACTGGCTGGTCAGTTCTGGCGTTGGTCAAAAGACCAGGAAAAGGATGGCCATTGTCCATCGTCAAGGTTTGACTATCAGGAACATGTATATGACTGTGGGTTGGAGTTATAGGAGAAGAAATCATCTGCTTTGTACCAACATAATGGCCTTCATGGGCCTGTCTACAAGTGGGATGTTGACCATGGGACCCGTATGGCACATGTCGGGGCAAGTGCTTGCCATTGTGCTCCACATATGCAGAGACTGGTAGGTCATTTTGAAGTTGCCTGGCTTTAGTGTCCAGTTGTACACCCTGACATTGTTTACAACTCATTTCACTATCATCTGCATTGATATCTTTTATTTCCTGATCTGGTGTGACCCTTTCTTTAAGAAAATTAACACTGTGACCATGCTTATGTTTATGTGCATCTTTAAGAATTCTGACATCATTAAATGGTCCACTGTCAAACAATTTAACATTATTACCATGATGCTGTGGACTTGCAAAAGTGTTTTTAGACAAAACATTCCTTGTTCTTGGTGAAACAGTTTGTGGAATGGCATCATCTATGTCCAAATTTAGATGATATTGACCATAAACTGAAGAGGCTCTAGGAGACTGAGGAACACCATTTCTACCAGTATGTAGATCAGAAAAGAAGGCGACCTCATTGTCAAAGGAGTCCAGAGTTTCTGACATGTTTGATGTAGAAGCTGATCCTAGCTCTTTCATGCTGGCACTGTTATCATTGGTGTTGCTTTGTTTCCTAGCTTCTGCCACAGCCGGATGAGGAGCCTTCCTCTTTTTGATACCTGACAGCATTTTCTATCTGTAGTAATGTAAAAATGAAAATCTAATGTAAATCTTTACTTTTCTTGAAAACTCACGATTTTTTAGTTTTGTATTTTTATTCTTTCATTATTCATTCATTCTTTATATAGTGACAAAATCTTATCTTCATGAATATTTTACAAAACAAACTTCAGGAACATTTGAAAGTACCGTATATCGAGTAATGACAGCTGAGATCATTTCTACGGTATTTAAACAAACTAATTTATGCATGCACACGTGCAGAGACATTTATCAAAGTTACTTTATTACTGAATTTTGAAAACCATTGAAAACCAAAGGTTTACTCTACTTGTGCTTATACTAGTATGTACATGTATACTAAGTTTAGCTAGTATAAGATTGGGGGCATACTCTTCATGTACCTAAATGTTAATGCACTTAGTACACTGTAGTCGGCTTTGCTTCAGTATAACGCCTGCTTGCCGATGCGATAATTACGTTACATATAATTAATTAATTAATAATTACGTTACAGGCCGAAATTTGAAATAAAGAAACTGCTAGGCACACTGGAAAATGGAATGCTGCTTGCATTGTTCACTATTTAGTTCAAGTCATTTAAGTTACTTACAAAAGTTTGACACATCAAGCTATGCTATTTTCAGTGGATATCCCTTAGCCCTGCTTCTAGTTAATATAAGGTGACAAATGCCCTGTTGTGCAAAACGCTGGCATAATCTGTTGGTAAGTAATTCGAGTAGCATCATCCAAAAATCAAAACAATCTCGTGTGTACATGCGTAAGGACTAACGCACGTAAAAAGTTTTCATATCTTTTTAATGCTACAGTAGTGAAAAACTAGTACGCACAATGGCACAAACGGCTGTGCATGTAGTATAGCAGCAGGCACCGCACCTCTCATTCCCTGACTTATGGTTTACAGTAACAAATAAGTGACTTTGACACATGACAACGAAGTATATGGTTAAATTTTCGGGAAGGTTACTTGGGCACAGAGACATTTTGATCTGTTAAAAGCATGTGTGCTGTAGCCTAATCAACCGACTGGTAGGCCTACAGTGTAGGCCTTTATTTAATTCAGGGCATAGGCCTACAACCTGCTACCTTACCCACATCCCAACTAAAACACGTTTAATGGCCTAAATTAATCTAAATGGCTTTCCCCAGTTTCTTTTGTGTGAAATAATTATATAGACATTAGTGCACTGAATTTACACACAAGGCAAAAATTGTCTTTTTCGTTGTTTCATTCACCACCCAACGCATATCGTTAATCTGCTTTGCAAATTGGTGGAAGATAATGATATCGGTTTACGATATCACTCGATCTGGACCTTAGGAGCATATTGTCGCAAAAATCGTCATCTTTGACAGTAAGGGTGTGAACTACAATCTGGTGCCCATGTTTAGGCTACTTATTTATTTATGAAATATGACCCCCTAACTTCGTTGTTCCATCGAAAAAAAGCGTTTTAGCCCTATTGGCATCTTTACTGGAAAATCAGAAGAAAGCCTTGAAAAATATAGGCCTACCTTTGCATGAGACTGTACTAAATAGTTATTGGTGTGTTTACAAAAGCGGTGTTCACAGTGTGCAGATGAAGGAGATCAGTTTGAAATCCAAAATACAATTTTCACATCAGAAATCGATAGTAGATCCTTACTTACAGGCCTAACAGTCTGTTGCACAGCCTTGCGAATGTACCTTGCTGGTTGCATTCAGCAAGATGTCATGTGGAGTTCGATCGATTCTACGTAGAATTTAAGCTTCACTGCGAATAAGCCCTACGAAGATAGTCCGATCGCAGAGATTTTCACTCTCATTAGTATAGATGAAATGTTAACCCCACCTTCCTTCTAATCTCGCATGCAATGTCGACACCCTGAGCTGAATTCCACTGCGGGAGTTTCATTTGAAAAGGACGGATACATTGAGAAGTAGCCGATATAACACTTTTTAAAATTAGACCCCATGTTTTAGCTCCGATTTCTCTAAAAACGAGGCATTGTGTTTTATAATTGGTATTTGATTAAGGAAAATCAGAAGGCTGGCACGAAAACGGCTTACTTCGATCACAATATTGGTGTAGATGGCCTGACAGTTCTTAGACAACTAAATAAGATTCAGGAGTCGAGTACTTTTTATATTTATAAACATTTAATGTCATCTGTTAGGTAAAAAATTCATACAAAAATCATATAAAATTTTACTTTGCTTCTTAATGATATCTATTACTGTCTACATCAGGTACCTCGCGCTAGTGCACAATGAAACAGACTGTATACAAAACGAATTTATGATGTGCATTTTAACAGTCCTGTTACTGTTTGCTTCACAAGTTCCTTTCACTTAATTGCAAATTACAGTAAGCAATGCGCGAACTTCTATGATTATGTACAACTGGTAAATCTTGTCCGTTATAGCTCTTTCACTTCCTGGCTGGACCGCTTTTGTCCTCTAGTCTGTTGAAAAGAAAATAAATACGAAAGTTAATTGCAAAACAGAATAACATAAAAAAAGTAATGCAGATTGTGTTTCTTCTTCAAAAAGAGAAAGATCAACATTAAATAGTTATATTCGGAGGGTTGATAAAGTAAAACGTAGGAATTGTTCATTTGCGATTTGGTTCTGGAATCGTTAACTTATTTTGAATTTGGTGAACTTATCATAAGTGGTGTCTTCTAATAAAAAAAATATACAGTTATTTTTCATCGAGTAACCGGATCTTCTTTCCCCTGCAAATGTGACCAAATTTAACCCGTTTGCCCAAATGCTGCATGAAAAGTCATTTCATTTCTATCTGCAGCCTATAATACAAATTAGTCTTAATCCGTTCCTGAATTTATAAAAAACCATTATTTCAGCAGAAATTGTAAGTAACGTACCATGACTATAGGTCTGGGGGGTCCAGGAGGTCCAAGCGGGCCAGGTGCTTTAGGTCTTCCCAAATCATCCCACTTCCCTCTCCAGGGCCCTCTCCGGGTCTTCTCCCCCTGTGAGGACGCGATCCACCGGGTCTTCTGCCCCCTGCAAGTGTTAACAAAATTTACCTATGCGCCCGTCATTTCAAGCTGCAGCCGATACAAACAAGTCTCAATGCGATATTTGATTTACAAAAACCATTATATTATCAGAAACTATGAGGTGCGTACCATGACTAGGTCTGGGCGATCCGGGTGGTCTAGGTCTTTCCAAATCATCACCACTACCCTCTCCAGGACTCCACCTGGGAGGACGCAATCCACCGGGTCTTCTGCCCCCTGAAAATGTCAACAAATTTTACCCATGTGTCCGTCATTTCAAGCTGCAGCCGATACAAACAAGTCTAAATGCGATCCTTAATTAATAGCAACCATTAATTAATATAAACATCAGAAATTAAAAGTTACGTACCATGAATACGTCTCAGCCGACCAGGAGGTCCAGGTGGTCTAGGTCTTTCCAAATCATCACCACTACCCTCTCCAGGACTCCTCCTAGGAGGACGCAATCCACCGGGTCTTCTGCCCCCTGCAATTATTAACAAATTTTACCCTTGTATTTCAAACTGTAGGCGAAAGAAAAGTCTAAATACGATCCTGAGTAAAGGGTATTGTAACCCTTTATTATCATACAGATACCGAAAATGAGTTTTTATTTGTATCTAAATATTCATTAATGCATCTATCTTTGTGCTGATTCAAAACATTAAAGAACCATTGGAGATATAAAATATCGGCGATTACATTTCTCGGTGTAATGTATAAGCATGGACAACTCAAATCTTTGATCGTCAATTTAACGCCTTTCTGTTTTGAGGCGAGATAACAATCGGTACGGGGCGTAACTTCGTCCTATTACAGGATTTTATTACAATATAGGCAGAGTGTAAAGGCTATAATCCCGTGCCGTAATTTTAGTTTAAATTTTTTTGTTATGAATTATGAGCCCCTTATTACAGCTTTTCATTAAACAAGAGCATTATTTTGCTATATCAACGATAAAAACCTATAATCTAAGACTTTAAAGAAAAATCGCTGGCAGGGTTTTGAGAGTTCTAAATGGTGTAATTAAATAGTGTAATTAATCCGGTGCTAAAACGGCGCTCGTGGGTGTTCAGGTAAAAGAGATATTTGAGTAGCCGATTTTTCAGTTTTTACCCCAAAATTGCAGTTATGACGTCACCCGTAGGATAACATTTGTGTTTTGCAAATTAAGTCACGTGATGAAGATTCATCAGTTACACAAAAGAATGTATGAAAGGCAGAAAATAGGGAGTTTTGTACGATGGGTAACAATATCCTTAATTAAAAACATTTTTTCAACAGAAATAATAAGGTAATTACCATGACTAGGTCTGGGTGGTAAAGGAGGTCCAGGTGGTCTAGGTCTTTCCATATCATCTCCACTGCCCTCTCCAGGACTCCTATGAACGGATCTTCTCCCCCTTTGAGGACGCAATCTACCGGGTCTTCTGCCCCCTGCAAATGCTAACAAATTTTACACTTAACCCATGTGCTGTTCAAACTGCAGCCGATACAAACAAGTAGTCTAAATGCGATTCTCAATTTGAAAAATTTGAAAACCATTATTTCAACAGAAATTATAAGGTACGTACCATGACTAGGCCTGTGCGGAACAGGAGGTCCAGGTGGTCTAGGTCTTTCCAAATCATCACCACTACCCTCTACAGGTGATCTAGGGCTTTCCAAATCACCACTACCCTGTCCAGGTGATCTAGGGCTTTCCAAATCACCACTACCCTCTACAGGACTCCTCCTAGGAGGATGCAATCCACCGGGTCTTCTGCCCCCTGCAAATATTAACACATTTTTACCCATGTGTCCGTCATTTCAAACTGGAGGCGAAAGAAACAAGTCTAAATGCGATCCTGAGTTAAGGGTATTGTAACCCTTTATTATCATCCAAATACCTAAAATGAGTTTTTTTCCTGCATCTTATTATTCAACAATGCATCTATCTACGTGCTGATTTAAAACAATAAAAAAACTTTGAAGATACATTTCTCGGTGCAATGTATAAGCATAGGAAACTCAAATCTTTAATCGTCATTTAAACACCTTTCTATTTTGAGGTGAGACAGCAATCGGTAATTTAGTCACGTAATGAAGATTTGTTTGTTACCCAAGAGAATGTATGAAAGGTAGTAAAGAAGGAGTTTTGTACGAAGGGTAACAATATCCTTAATTAAAACCATTATTTCAACAGAAATTGTAAGTAACGTACTATGATTAGGTCTGGGCGGTCCACGAAGCCTCGGCGGTCGAGGTCTTTCCAAATCATCACCACTACCCTCTCCAAGATTTCTATGAACGGATCTTTTCCCCTTGTGAGGACGCAATCTACCGGGTCTTCTGCCCACTGCAAATGTTAATAAATTATATACTTTACATATGTGCCCGTCATTTCAAACTGCAGCCGATACAAACAAGTGTACATGCGATCCTGAATTAATTAAAACCATTATTTCAACTGAAATTACAAGGTACGTACCATGACTAGGTCTGGGCGGTTCATGAGGTCCAGGTGGTCTAGGTCTTCCCAAACCATCACCACTACCCTCTCCAGGTGATCTAGGGCTTTCCAAATCATCACCACTACCCTCTCCAGGTGATCTAGGGCTTTCCAAATCATCACCACTGCCCTCTCCAGGACTCCTATAACCGGACCTTCTCCCCCTGTGAGGACGCAATCCACCGGGTCTTCTGCCCCCTGCAAATGATAACACCATGTGCGCAAGTGAATTTCCATGTGCCGCTTTAAAAGAGTTAATTTATATTGTAACCAATACAAATAAGTTAAAATGCAATTCTGAAATTAAAAGAACATTTGTGTTACAGAATTGATATGAAACTTACCGTGACTGGGTCTAGTCGGACTAGGTCTAGGTCGTCCCTCTCCAGTACTCCTATGACTGGGTCTTCTTCCTCTGTGAGGACGCATTCCACCGGGTCTTCTGCTCCCTGCAAATGTTCAAACTTCATCCATAAGACCTGTGCCCAAGTGACATAACTTTTGCTGAAAGTCACTTTTAAAGTGGATGTTTTAGCCGCCGATTGATAGATTTTGATGAAACTTTAGGATGGGTCAGAAAAGGAATAACAGTACAGTGCTAAGATTTTGTACATCCAGGATTGTTTAAAAAACATCCCTCACCATTATGAGTTAGTTTTTTATAAATGGTGAAATTGACACCAAATGCCCTGTATGCAAGGGAATTAACTATTGTTGAAGTTTTGAGAGGTCACTTTTCAAAACCACTGAAATCTGTTTTAAATGTTATATGTGTAAACATAACTTCGAATAAATAAGAAATTTTGCTTCGATAGAACTTATCATGACCGGTTCAAGGTGGAAAATTTGTCCATATGGTCTGTGCTCAATTGAATTAACTTTTTCATTTTAAATCGCGAGAGGTTGTTTTCAAAAATTATTTAAATCTCTATGAAATTGACCAAGATATATCTTTGAATAAATAAGAATATTTGCTTCAACAGAATCTATCAGTTACTTACCGTGACTAGGTCTAGGTGATTTAGGTCTTGATTCCATTTCATCACCACTGCCCTCTCCAGGACTTCTATGACTGGGTCTTCTCCTCCTCTGAGGACGCATTCCACCGGGTCTTCTGCTCCCTGCAAATGTTAAAATTTAATTACTTGTGCCCAAGTGACATAATTTCCTTGAAAGTCACTTTTGAAGTGGATGTTTTCGCGACCGTTTGTCTCTTCGTCACCAGCTTTTCTCAATAAGGTAAAGATAGATTTTGATGAAACTTACGATAGGTCAAAAATGGACTAACAGTACAGTGATTAGATTTTGTACATCCAGGATTGTTTAAAAAAGACCCTTTACCATTATGAGTTAGATTTTGAGAAATGTTGAAATTGAGACCAAATGTCCTGTGTGCAAGAGAACAAACTTTTGTTGAAATTTTGAGAGTCACTTTCAATAACCATATTGAAATCTGTCTTAAATGTAATCTGTGTAAACATAACTTTGAATAAATAAATAAAAATTTGCTTCGATAGAATTTAGGAACTTACCATGACCTGTGTAACGAAACTGAGTGTCCGTTTAACTGATAGTCCGCCCTCCATTTAGTTATACTGGTTAGAGTAGCCTGACCTAAGTGGGCCAAAATATAGGGCGGGGCTAACCGACACGAATGGGAAGCAGACTTCCTACCATGGGGGACTCTGTCACGTTACAGGGTCTAGGTGGAAAATTTGTCCATATGGCCTGTGCTATCTGTATGAAATTGACATAGAAATAAATAATATTTGCTTCAACAGAATCTATCAATAACATACCTTGACTAGGTCTAGGCGATTTAGGTCTTGATTCCATTTCATCACCACTACCCTCTCCAGGACTCCTATGTCCGGGTCTTCTCCTCCTCTGAGGACGCCTTCTACCAGGTCTTCTGCCGCCTGCAGCATACTCGGGATCGTGGCCTCCTGCTACATGAGCAACGTACAATATACTATACTAAATTAAAATAAGCCGCTCACGGTCTTCTGACCGAATGAAGCTTGTTAAAGACAAAAATAAGTATCCGTTTAAATGAATGCGTTACTAACCCCATTCTCGATCAAACCAAATAGTTATATGAAACATAACTCTTTGATCTAACTGTTTGGCATTTGTTCAAATTACTGTTAACCTGATGCCAATGGTTTTTACTCATGAAAAGGACCTTCTTTTCGATATTTTTTCACGTTATATTTCATATACCAAATACATGGGTGCAAAATATGTTAAAGTGCGAGAATAATATCCAGGACGTAATTTACTTCAAGTAGCCCTTGTCATTTTCAAACGTCATTTGCGTAGTGATGCTCGATATGTCCAGGACAGAGACCATTGCCTTTTTGATATACCAGTAGTATACTCTAATTAGACAAAAAATTACTTACCCGGAGCTGGCACGGGACTTAAGGGTGGTCTTGGTCTTCCTGGGGGACGGCTAGGTGGGTCATCTTGAAGATGAGTGATCGATACCAAATCTGCAAAACAAGTCACATACCAGTATATAAGAAGATCGAATATGTGCAAATGAGTTGGACTAACATTTCTTTACGCTCATCAGCCCGGCTCTGCAGCAACCAAGGTTACGTTAAGTTTACCTTTTTTTTGCATTTTAAAAAATGCACTCTCTTACGTTTTATTTTGCTTCTTTTTCTATAGTGAACGCGACGCTTTTCCAGCACAAATTCTGTATTAGTACAATTCATATTTGCAAGCCTATTTTTGGGGATATTTTCCCTGAAGCTGGAAGTTTTGAAGTGCATAATCCATTTCCAAAGCAAAGCAACAACATATTAATTACGAAAAGCTATATACTTACCTTTAGGAGTTTTTTTGTTGTCAGACTCGTCATGATCTTCGATGTACAGGGCAATCCCTCCGCTAATAAGAACGAGCGCAAGTGCGCATCGTAGGACTTGCCTTCCCATCCTCCTGTCGCTTTCGGAATATGCACTCTAAGGCATTTTCGTCTTATTTTATACCCTTCCAGTTGCTAATTGGTTGTTTTAATTGACGTGGGGACCGTGGGTCGTGGGTTGCTTATTGCGCTTATTTTAGAAGTACGTCAGTCAGGTATCTCCAAAAATTTCAATGCTTTTCTACGTAACTATATAATTACATGGTAAATGTAGCAATTTTGATGGTTCTGGTAGATGACACCTATGATAAGAATTGGCAGCAGGCGGTCTCTTAGAACTTTACCCATGGAACCTAATAATTAACCCCACAATCCCTACATTTAGAACAGCATATCTGAAACAATCAGGAAGTATACCTGTAATCAAGATGCCATCGCAAGTTGATTTTGCGGTAGGTTAAGTGCATGCATGATTTTGCGTCACAAGAGAGACAGGGCAAGCTTATTTTCAAATAGAGGTTCTTTACGAACACATAATAAAAGCAGCATATATAAATAAAATATATATTTAAACTAGCTCTTGTCAGAACAAAGGATGCTTGAATCCTTATCAAATCCATTGACAGTAGCCTCCCACATTCGCACCTGATTCTTGTCTGGAGTGGGTGGACCACTGAGGTGCATTTGATCATATCTATAGCGTCCTAGATCATATCAAGCTGGCACAATTTGGACCCAAGTCAAACTTCAGTGTTTGAGATTGTTGGCCTAGTTTTAAGACATGCTAATCTGACTATTAAGACAGTATGAAGTATAAAGAGATGTTGACTGAGAGAAAATGAGAGATAGAGGAAGAAGAAGATGATGAAGATGAAAATGAAGGCCTACATGAATGCGCGACCAAAGTGAACTTAAATTCGTATAACACCCAAACCCAATATAGAGATGCATTTCACATGTTGAAGTGTCAAAAAATAAAATTGAATGAATTCAAAGTTGTATTCAGTTTTTAAAACATATATGTGTATAGAACAAAAATCCACGACTGTCTCAATTTAAATTAAAATTTTGATTTTTACTATGTCTTTTACATTACGCAAAGAGTAACGTAAGTTCCGGGTCATTTAATTTTAATTTTATACCACGTTCCGATATATTTTGTAGTGGTTCAGTCATGGTAAATTAGACATGACGTCTAGGCAGGACGTTTTTTTAAATATAAAAAACTATAACCCAAGGGGCTTTGTGTCATGGCTAATACTAGGTAACGTATGTTCCCTAGAAAAATTGTTACAATGTTTCATTTTGATTAGGTACTTGGTGTGCAGAGAAAACAATGTTTTCTGTTGCTGACCGAAATATATTGTGATTCCATGATAGTTTGACATTTCTTATATAATATTTGGAGCACGAGGGGAAAAATAATTTATTTAATGCTTATTTTACTGTCGGTAGGGTGTATTTTCCGAGTTTTTTAAATATTCAGTGACAAGCAAACTAATTATAAAGTACCGGTAGCCCAAAGACAATTAATTGCTCTGTACAGAAAATTATTATAATTTTTTACAAGGTTATACTTGTTGGAGATAAATCAAAGAACAAAATCCAGTGATGATTGAATTTTCGAAGTGAGTAAAACGTTTCGTAGTTGAACGTTTTGTATTTGTGACAGTAACGCATGTTCCTTTTTTGGGATAGAAGTTGAATTATTTTTTATTTATCATGGTTCCAGGAGAGTGAAACTTTGATATAAACTTCTTCACGTGGGACCCTAAAATAATCAGACATAGTTTGCAATCTGAGCACTAAATCATTTTAAGAGCATGCCTGTGACATCAATTGCACCTCTATATTTGGTTTGGGTGATAAACATAATTTTTGAGAAGTGTTTTCTATGCAGGCCTTTTAAGTTAATTTTAAGACCAGCATTCTATATGAGTTTTTATTTGAAACCAGATGCTTGAATCCTTATCAAATCCATTGACAGTAGCCTCGCACATTCGCACCTGATTCTTGTCTGGAGTGGGTGGACCACTGAGGTGCATTTGATCATATCTATAGCGTCCTAGATCATATCAAGCTGGCACATTTTGGACCCAGGTCTAACTTCAGTGTTTGAGCTTGGTGGCCTAGTTTCAAGACATAGGCCTACTACATGTACATGTACTCTGGCAATGTTTGCATTAAAACTACATTGGTTATACATATACATATTTATGGCATTCATTTAAAGCATATTGGCTCTATAATATGCAGAAAAAATAACATACAATAAGAAGAAGTTAGACACGAACATTTCAAAGATACGGAAGATAATAAAAATGTCGTTAGGGAGGTTCTTGTTTCGAAAAATGATCTATAAAAAGAGTTTGGGTGAGAACTTACCACCAGGCATTGAGATAAAAAGTTTGACCCTCCCCCCCCCCATGTGTTAATGACCAAAGGGCTTACTTTTTTTTTATATTTTGAAACGAAATAATTCTACTCTAACTTTAATGCCATAGATATACATGCACATGTACGACGACCATGACATGTCAATGTTTATTTTAATTAAATACTTTATTTTTGCTTTAAGCTGCCCTCTATTCCCGAACTACCAGTATACACTGTACCTTTGACAGGTTTTCATCTTTTATCAGAGTATATTTTAACTAAGATATGCAGTGCGTGAAAATGAAAAGAAAATGTTAAATATATTTCAAGTGGTCTGACATCTAATACTGAGACTAAATAAAAAACACGATGTTCAAGATGATGCCCTCGAAGTGATTGCGCAATATAACTTGCTCGTGTTTTAATACCCTTAATTGAATAATGCGTTGTGAACCGTTATGATTTCCGACAGACGAAAGAGAAACAAAGCAATACTATTACGTGTACATGTGTTAGGACCTTACGAAATTTGTTAGATTAGATTTGTATGAATAGAATGGACCTACATGTACATGTACCTGTGGGGATCCTAGAATGGATGAACGTTTTGTAACTGCTGTCACAATACGGAAGGTACAATAAAGAACTGTAAAATATGTTACAACAAAGTAGTGAAATTATGTAAAATATAGGGAAACTTGACCTAGCTAGGCCTATATTATGTTTCCTTGAATAACAAGAACGTATATTCATGGTCAGTAATGACTTGAAACCGCCATCAGTTTACTCTCTCTGGGAAGCATGTAAAAGAGAGGAAGATGTATTCTGCGACATCGTATTCGTTGAAAATATTTACAATGTTTGTTTTAATCGCTTTATGGGTATGGCGCCTCTAGTTTAAATAATCGAGGAATATTTGCGGTGCAATTAGGGGACCATGGGCGGATGAAGGCCATCGTCTGAGTCTTCCGGAAGACGATCTTCTTTCTTAGTCTGTGCAGGGAATTATATCGGATATAATTCCCTGGTCTGTGACACCCTTCCGTGGCTTTCTTACTAACTTCGGTGACAATAGATGTCATAAGTATGACTATGGTCGCCACGAGTGGTTTAGATCATATCAAAAGCTGACAGTTGACAAGCTTACTAATTATGATGCAATTAAAATACCTGGTTGTCGACCAGAGGGTACGCAGAAGCTCGTAAACGATTAAACTTGTAAGAGGAACTACATGTAGTCGGGGCTGACTGGTTGGTACTGGTATATACTGGTTGGTACTGGTATATACCGGTATATACTGGTTGGTACTGGTATATACTGGTATACTATACTGACAGTTAATGAAAACGCATCAGAAAACTTTCTTGTACTTTTTTTTACCGAGAATCGATTTCCAACCATATAAACGAGTACAAATGCACTTGTTTGATCATAAGAGAGTCACCTTGTTTGACTGAATAATAGGTTATATTTCACACGAAAACTGTTATTTTCTTAATGTTTCAAAGGAACTTAAAATATTATTTGATAAATAAATGGTGCGTTTTCATTGACTGTCAGTATAAAATAAACGTATTTAGCAATGAGTAGTGATGATAAAATATTTTTTCTTCTTTTATTTCCTTGTATTTATAACTTTTGAAAAAGATTAAAAATGTAGTATATATATAGGGCCTACCCCTATATAATAGCTATAAGGCTTGATACAGGCCTAGCTAATTTGTAACATTGATAAAGTAATTAAGACAATTCATTAGTGGCGTAACATAACAAAAATAAGTTTCTCGTCAAATCTCGGACAACCAATACTCTGTTACCTCTTTTATAATAATAATAATAATAATAATAATAATAATAATAATAATAATAATAATAATAATGGTCATCGCGGCAAGTTATTGACTGCGGATGCATGGTAGATTCCCACATTGTGTTTCAATGGGCTGGATTAAACATGATTAAATCTCGAAAAGAGACCACCTAGGACCACAGGTAATTACAAAAAAAAGTATTTTATTTAAACAGGTTTGACATAGATTAACAAGAAAATGTAAAAAAAAAATGTTTGAAAAGTGAAATTTACAGGGTAGGGGGGTATACTACAAAAGTAACATATTTTTTTCCCGTAGTGTTGGGGCTAACAACTCACATCATTAACAGACGATTGGTAGAACGCGGTCTGTGTCAGAGCGACTGTATGCACCGCTGATGCACTGCACTCGCACTGTATAACTGAAAGGGTCTCTGTAACGATTGTGTTAGAGGCGTAAGATACCGGTCACGGATTAAAGTTCATTAGCTCTCCTCCATTTGTCGTCTTATCTAATGGACTCATACCTGTAAATGGAGCGAAAATCAAGTCATGGGGAATCATAACAGCAGAAAAAGACAACAGAAGAGAGATGAACTTGAAAGAGACCTTAATATCTTGGAGAACAGACTGGAAAACGTATGTGACACTTCGTCTACCCACCTGTTCGCTGAAGAAATCCCAATCACGGCCAATGTCTAATTGGGTCATAACCAAGGAGTTCCACCGTGGTCAAATAGATTACGGTGGCAAACCTACTTTATAGTTTTGCTGTTCACACTTTACTTGCCTGTGAGCCCGTTAACTAGGCCCCAGTATTCGGGCGTGGGGTCCTGCACATACTGTACCAGTACTACTTGTAGCAGATATTAACCAGTTTTCGACATTGGGTTAATTGATGGTCATCATCAGTGACTCCCGTGTTGCTTCATTTATTTTGACCGATATATTACATTACCAAAGGCACCGATACAGTCGGCCCTAATAGAACGAAAAATCATGGACTAGCACCATTTATCAGTAATTTGAACACGTATATGGTAGTGCTTACAATATACCAGTAGTACATGTAGTTATAAAACGTGTATAAAGGCACTATTTACAAGTATTTGCACAAGTACCGGCATGGACAATATTACGAATGTATTATGTCTAAGGTACTGGTTACATATATTTGTGCTAGACTAATACTCGTGGACAACCCATAAAATGCTTTTACCTTCTGACCCTTTTAGAAATGCACTCTGCACATGTAGATTTTGACTACTTTTCATGTTTACACTAGACCTAAGGAATAACAACAGACAGGAAAGTGATTGACTTAAAGCAGATGAAAAACTACCACGAAACATGTAAATTAAGCATATAAATAGTGATGAATAAATGTGTACCTTAACTGTTAACATCCCTATTTTCCGTTGTTGCAGTTATCCAGGGAGAGAATAGAGGAGATAACTGGACTAAAATTGAGAGTGCTACTGGAGAAACTCAATTCTGGGGAATTGAAATCTGCAGAGGTGCTACAGGCCTTTCAATGCAAGGTAATATACATGTATGAGTGTGTGTGTGTGTGTCTGTGAAATATTGGTACAGTATATATATTATGCACCTATTCAACACTTGGATAAATTTTACAGAGCTGCTGATACCTTTCACACACACTGATCATGCACTGTGTACAATGCAGGTGTAATATTTTCCTCCTTAAACTCAGTTTGAAATCTTTTTATCCATTGGTATAATACTGGCCTTAATGACACATCCATATATAATCTATTGAGTATTTGTATCTGGTATAGTTGTAAAAATATAGTGAATAGGCACCCCATGCTCAAGCTTTTTTAGAAGGATTTATTTATCCTGGGAGGGCATTGTTGAAAAAAACGTCTGTAAATCTGTAATGTTTATAATAATCTATAATATAAAATGATATAATTTTTTTTTTCAATTTAAAATTTACAGGCTGTGGAAAAGAACAGAGACCTCAATTTCATCACTGCTGTTATCAAGGAAGCACAGGTACATGACAGATAAATGAAAGCCTCTGCTGTGGGGTATTTAAAATTTTTTTTTTTTTTTTGGTAAATAGCCCCTATGACCATTTCATTCTTATACATGTAACACCGACAACAGTACATAAGCATTTCTAGTAATGAGTAATGTATATGTAAATAAAAATATGCATTGATTATATTATATAAAATTTTTCGATTTTAACCCCATTAAAATTGCTGGCTACAGGTATGTATTTAAGGCTAATTATCTGCATTAGTACTTGAATGTCAGCTTCTGGTTACAGGATGATGCAGTGGCCTGTGATACAGCTAGCGAGAAGGGGCCTCTTCATGGTTTGCCTGTCACTATTAAAGATTGTGTTGGACTAAAGGTAGAGGATTCACTTTTTACTCTGATGTGCATGTCTTTCCCCTGTATCTTTTGAATTGCACGAGCACTTAACTTGTGATAAGTTTCAGGCATTTAAAGCATTATTTACTTTTCCTGCTTTTTCATGTATTATAGAAAATATCTTTTTTGGGGTAGTGACTTCATTTCTTTAAAAAGACGTAACAATAATGGTCTCCAGGACATTATAACAAGCTATTCAAAAACAAGAGAAGCAACGGAGATCCAACCAGTCCCTTTATTGAAAATATACACCTGGATTATTTGATATTTTGATATATATAGCAGTCTGCAGCACTGAGGCACTTCATCAAAGCCTCAAACTAGCAAAATTTAGGATTGGGATGGTAAAGAGATCTGATTTTTCAGCTTGTGGTTTTACACTGGCACCTAGAATATTTAAGACTGTAAGAATTATTTAATGTTTATTTTGGCATAGTATGGAGAATTATCACTTGTAATGTCTTTAAGTAATTTGAAATTTCATCACAGATATACTTTTCTATTCTATAGGGTTATGACTCTACTTGTGGTCTGGTGAACTGGATAGGCAAACCATGGGAAGAAAACTCTGTGCTTACCAAAGTATTTACTTTTATTCTACTAAGTTAACAGTCCAGTTACTAAAAACATGTTTTCACTATAATATAATATAATATAATATAATATAATATAATATAATATAATATAATATAATACTGTTATTTGTCAGTAAATTTGAATATGATATGTTTCTTAAATATGTTTTGATTTGCTTTTTATGATATTGATTTAAGATGATCTAAATCCTGAATTGGGATGTTCTCTGTATTTTATTGAACTGAATATTATAAATATAGAAATAATGCAGTGTTTTGCAATAGTTAGATGTCTAAGAATTGGAGGCATTTACTGTGCATGTACACAACACATGACAAAACACATAGCATAGAATTGACAGCAGTTACTTGTTTGAATTCTTTTAATAGTTTTTGTCTTTACATATTAGACAATTATGTTGAGTTAAATGGAATTGTTTGAATCTTTATTTACAGGTCTTGAAGAAACAGGGTGCTATTCCTTTTATTAAAACAAATGTTCCTCAAACCATGCTGGCGTAAGTACTGAGTACTAACATAATACCTACTTATACCTCAAAGCAGTATATTTGTAACTTTAAAATGAACAATTAAAATGAAATAGGTATTTTAATATTTAAGAATACCTGCTAAGGAGTATCATGCCTAATTATCATGATATTAATAGGCATAAGAGATTAGGTCATAGGGATAAGAAGAAAGGGAAAAGAAATGTAACCATCATAATTTTCTTTTGTTTTACACAAAAATATTTATCTTGTGTAATGTGTGATTCTCTTGTATTTTGTAGGTATGACTGTTCTAATCCAATATTTGGTGCTACAAAGAATCCCCATGACCCCTCAAGGTCACCAGGTGGTTCCTCAGGTGGCGAAGGTGCAGCCGTAGGGTCAGGTGCCTCTCTCGTAGGCATAGGCACAGACATAGGGGGCAGTGTGAGAGTACCTGCTGCATGCTGCGGAGTTTATGGGCTTAAACCAACCTGGTTTAGGATAAGGTAAGGTGAAAATGGGAAGCAATAGAAAGTTTCCAAAAGATTAATCTATTACGTTATTTTTCCTTTTAATTCCATAAATAAAACCTGTAGAAATATAAGAATCAAATGTTCTTGACTCCATGTGAACTGTTGACTTTTAACTAGTTGTACTGTGTTTTTAGGATTTTGTATTTTGATCACAGTTGGTTTACTGTTCAAAGTTAAAATTTTAACCCTTTGTACATTTTAGCTCTGCTGGAAATACCCCTTTCTATTCTGGAAATAAATTGTGTAAGTTCAAAAAGTCCACAGACAAATTTTGAGTAAATGCAAATAGTTTGTTTAGTAAATTTGACGAAGTTTTCATCTATTTCATTGATTTGTGGCCAAATGTTACAAATTTATGTTTGTCAGATATTGTATTTTAGGATTATACATTTAATATAAGATTTGTTATACTTAGATAAGTCTAGCAAAAATGTGGGTGGCTTTGTGAAAATGAATAAAACATTGTTTATGCCCTAGTCATGAATTCATTTCAACATTCATCAGTAAAACATAATGGCCATGCATTCTTATGAAAATGATATTCCTTAACACCAGTATAGTATAATACCATAACAGGTTATGATATACAGAACAAAAAATCTACGGAACATATATTCCCTAATCATGGCATGGGAGTAGTTGAGTCTGGAGTTTGCTTTAACATACATTTAAACATATATTTATGATATATTTTATTACAGTATGCACCTGCTATGGTGTTCTTGGACAAGATGTAGATAGCTTGGCAATTATGATGAAGGCACTCTTGTGTCCTTACATGTTCAAGTTGGATCCATATGTACCTCCCATTCCTTTCCAGTCAGAGGTAACTCTCAGCTAAAATTAAGCCAGATGCATACTCTTGTCATGTAGGTTTTTAGGAATCTCATTTTACACATGTCTGGTCACTTGTTTTCACATTAAGTGACCCATGCACACAGTCTGTACAGTGGATAAAGTTTCTTTAATAGACATCAGATTAAAACTTTGCTGACTAATCTTCAATCATCAACAGTTGTGTGGAGGATGTTGCACATCTCGCAGTCATGTTTATCTTGCTTCTGGTAATGTTTTTTTATGTTACAGTGTTAAGGAAAATTCCAAGATATTTTTTAATGTTTTACATGTTATCTCTCAGATATATGAAAGTACCAAGCCACTGAAGATAGGTTTCTATACTGAGTTTGAAGACTTTATAACACCAGTGCCAGCTTGTCAGCGAGCTGTGTTGGTTGCTAAGGCTGTGCTGGAACAGAAAGGCCATAAGGTAATTGTATGGGAGGATTTCATTGATATAAGGTCATTACATATTATTTATTAATTTAATTGTAAATTATGTTTTTAATTAATTTGTACTAAATAATGTTATACTTAGATCAACTTTTGCAGTTTTTTTTCTTATAAGAGATAATTACAAAAAATAATTTTTTTTAGAAAAAAAACAATGGACTAATTTCGTGGGAATGGATTCATAAACTATACGTAATTGTGGTAAAATTGTCATTTACCCCAGAAAAATCCCGTTTTTGGCAAAAATGAACCATTGTTATCCCTTTAATACATGCACATTATTTTTAAAAAGCACCAGTAGTTTTGAACTGAACATTAACATATTTTTCTTTCTTTAACAAGTTGGAACCTACATTTTCAGCTCATTCCATGGACCCCTCCAAATGTTAAAGATAATCTTTTTACCTACTATGGCAGAAACATATTGGCTGACTATGGGGAATCATTGGCAGTAATGCTGTAAGTTCACAGGTAGAGAACCTCTTACTGAAGTGTAGAGGAGGACTAAGAATTAATTTATCTCACTCGTTGCCAGCAAATATGTAGCTGTCTGACTTGTCTTGTGACCAGCCCATCGGGTCACTGACACTCATCTCCCTGCTGAAAATTCCTGTTATGAATCGGCATGTTGCATTGTTGATTTATTACATTGTAAGTGTAGCATTAGATAACATTTTTTCTCTATTTTTGCTTTGGTGGGTTGTTTCTATGTCCAAAATTTGTTTTAAGTTATTTGTTTTGTTTGTTTACCTGAATTCAAATCAGGATATTGAAATGATATTATATTTAATCTCTTTATTTTCAGGAAAGGGGATGTCATAGATCAGTGTATGCAAGTTTTTCACTCAGTTAGGCTTCCTTACTTCTTAAAGAGGATTATATCATTCTTCATAAAACCATTTGTAAGTTAAAAAAGATCAAATAATACCTTTTTCAAATATTGTTATGATTTTTGTTACAATAACTATAAGTCAATTTAGCAATGTGTTATGTAAAATTATTCACTGTATTAAAGTACAACCAAAACCCATACTGAAGGAAGTACTGAGTACATCATTGATTTTATTAATTGATTATTTTATGATAGAGGATGCATTCTGATATCCTCTAATAAGTACCTAGGAGATGTTATGCCCATTGTTTTGGTATGATTTTCAGGATTGCTTTGCTAGCCGAATGTTATTAGCAGTTAAGCCCTTCAGGTAGAGGAATTTTTTTGTAGAAGCTGTTAATTTCAGAATTTTAGCTTGTTTTAATACAATTTACAGTTTCAAGGTTAAAAATTTATATTTAAGCAATTGAAATGTTTTAACCAATCTTGTAGACTAATTTGTGTCCCTTTTTTGCTGTAACATAACAGCGAATGGCTTTTCAGGATGACATTTGACTACTATAAAATATATTTGCTATGATGTAAGATGTGCTGTAAATATTTTGTAAACTATTTTTACTTTTAGGTCTATTTATGAATGGTTTAATTTCAACACCAAAGTAGAGGTATGTTTGGCTATAAGTTAAATGTCATTTATTCAGATAAATGGATTTACCGTTTAATCAAAATGTACATAACAAAAATTTTAAAAATGAAATTTCAAAGTGTTCTGTAAAATTTCATGAATGGACAGTGACATAATTTTAGATATTACACACGAACACACACACACACAGAGGAGATAATTTATATAGATCATGGATTACATGTTTGACAAGAGATTTGTACCTTGTAGAAGTGGAAGATGGATTTTAAAGACAATTGGCAGAATTATGAGATGGATGCTGTTATCTGCCCAGTCATGACTGCTCCTGCCCTACCACTAGGCTATCCAGGGAGAGCTCATGGTAAGATTTCTATCTTGTGGGCAGATTTATTAAAATATCCTATCTCTGTATTTCAGCAGTATTGGTGTGTAGAGTCAAATGTAGTTACTGGTAGATACAGTGACACAGTACAGTTCTAACAGCTCCATTGACAGAAAGATGAATTTTGCTCATTTCTTCAACCTCTAGCTGATGTTAAGTGTTCAACATTCTGTACCTTGTTCCTATACAGCCACAAGAAATTATATTGAAGTGAAGGTTATAGCAATATCTTTAGTCTCATATTCTGACAAAATTGAGGTGATACCCAACAAGATTTTTGGCTGTGCCAAAAATTCAGAGATGCCCACTGATTGAATTTCTTTTAACGAATCAAACATTGTTGGAATTTTATAGTAATAAATCCATGTTCTGCCATTGTTTTTTATCTTTCACATTATTCTTTTTAGCCTCCATGGCATTTTGTACACTGTACAATGTGCTGAACTTTCCAGCTGGGGTTGTCCCTGTTACTAAGGTCACTGCCACTGACATGGAAGAACTGAAAAATTACAAGGCCCCTAATACGTGGCAGAAACTTGTGAAAAAGGTAATTGATGCAGCCACTCTAACAGCATATATTTGGAATGAGTTAAATGCAGTACTTGGCACTGGTGACAGACAGACATTATTACATGATACCAGGAAAGCTGACTAATGCCTCAAGATTTTCATGATGAAATCCTTATTTGAAAATCCACTCTGTTTTACAACTGTCCTCTTTTAAAATACTTATAAAATACTTTTGTTATCTCACACATTATCAAACTAATATGTTAAAGACACTTTATGTAATACAGTATTATGGTAGATCTACTAACTTAAAGGTCAGCAGAAATAGTGATGAAAAAGTAAATCCCTGAAAACTTAGTATTGACTAAGTTTGACAGTCATTTGTTGTTTCCCCAGGGTTGTGAAGGTGGCAAAGGTCTCCCCGTGGCTGTGCAATGTGTTACCTTACCATTCCAAGAGGAGCTGTGTCTACGTGTGATGAAGGAGCTACAAGAGGGACTACAATATGCACATGATGAAATGGAAGAGTATTAGGATAGTATTGGGTAGAATTAGGGAAATGGTTTAAAATGATGAAGGGATTGAAGCATGAATTTCAAGAAAATTATGAAAGCAGGTGTGGTTTGAATTTATGCTTATAAATGTCTTGTTGTCATTGATCATAAGCAGTCAGTTGTTAATTAATTTAATTTCACAGTGCTATAATGTGATTACTATATTACTTATAATAATAGCACTTTATTTTAACTATGTGGAAGCATATTCAATACATCTGATGGCATGATATGCCTTCTATTCAGTAGTCATCTTGGGTTAATCAGTGTAAGAAACAGAAGCTTCTAAGGATGAAGTATTCTTGGAATATAAATGGCAGATGAGAACAGATTAGATTTTGTTTCTGCAAAAAAAGTGAACAAGGGTACAAGAATACAGGCAATGTATAATTATCAGATTTTCTATGATTACACATCATACTGTTAAAATATTGATTTAATTCAGAGTGCATTTACAGTGTAATGCATTTTGGTGATATGTATGGTAACATAAAATATGAATACAATGTTTCTTGTTATGTGATTGGATATATATTTTTTCATTTCTTAAATATTTTTTGTTGTTTTGTTCAATACATTAACTAGGAAACCTTGTTGTTGAGTTTCTTCTAAGATTTTGATAGCAGTATAGATTTTCAAGTCTTTTAGAGAGGCACATGCTAAAACCAACATTCCAACTTAATTAGCATTAAGTAACTTTATTCATAAATTATCTTTTTTATTTCTAGGCAAAAATTTTCATTTCATTTGCACCTTCTGTGTTAATTTGTCTGTGCTAGCCTCAGGTTAAAATCTGCCTGTCTGTGTTACTGCCAAAACAAGTATAGTTGCAGTTTTTATATAAAATAACAATAATAATAATTTTATATGTATAATAATTATTATTTTATATAAAGACATACCTTTCCATGATGCAGGTTTCATGTGAGACATTGAAGTATTGGAGTGGTAAAAACTCTGATTTTCAGCAGTTGTAGGAAGAACTTATCATTATAATTTAGATTTGTGTAATTGTAAGCCAAATATAAAGTGACCAGACAAACATTTGTAGAGAATGTTAAGAGGATTAAAGAACCATTGCCCTCCACCATCAACTTGATCAAACATTGTTTTTAATTCACATTACACATAAATCTTTCTGATAGGCAAAGCAGCACATACCCGTTGAAGGATTGTTTACAAGAATCTGTGTAACACAATAGAATATAACCAAAAAGTACAAGTGCTAAATACTGCATATCATTATCACATCAGAACTATTGGAGTATTACCAGAGGCTTGTTAATTATTGATGTGATGTACGATGATCTATTACAAAGATTGTGCCATGGGTATTTTTTAATTATTGTAAAAGGCTAGACACAGGTAGAGTGTTCCCAGCAGCATTATTTATATACTTACTGACTTCAGAATCTACAGAATATTAAAATTCATTGATTTACGTCATACAAACTGTATGTAACATTGTATGTCACTTTATGTTTTCCCCCTCTTTACATTGTTTGCAACATTTCTATTCATCTTTTGTTTGCAAGCACCCACATACATCTGATTATACCTGGCAACGTGCCTTCACCTGAGGTACAGGTAAAACCTGTCCATGGTTTTGTTTGTAAATGTTTGCTATCTGTTATTGATGGTTGGTGTTAGGACAAAGCACAGAGGTTTACAGTCAGAGAAGGTTGAAAGGAGGGGGTGATTTGTGGAGCTTGCAGCTGGATTTCTCAAATTTAGAAAAAATTCTAGGGTTGCACTACTAGGTTTCTGTATCACTGCCCGTCCCCCCCCCCCCCGACTCTCCTCCCCTCTCTTAAATCCTGGATCTGTCCCTAGATCCAGATTATCATTTTCAGATCACATCAGTAACAACAACAACAACATGCATCTATTCCCTTTATGTGACAGACACTTTATCTGTCATCAAGTGTAAAAGTGTTATAATTATTCAGGCTGAAATATGAAAATTTTGATGCTTAAAAATCAACAGCAAGGAGCTTAAAATATGGTAAATGAAATATGTACATTTTGTAGTATGATGTTTTACTCTTTGCTTAGGCATTTGCTTAGCTAAATGGAAATGTCACATAAAACAAGCAGTGAGTGCAGACTTAATCATTTATATCAACAGCTAATAGATAAAATCATAAAAATAAAAATCAGACCAATTGAGTAAAGTACAATTTTACCATTCAAGTTAGTCTTGTACTTCATGAGTCGACAATGAAGTTCTAGCCAGTACAAAAGGTAGTGTCCTTAGCTCTTCCACTTGTAGATCTAAAGTTTTAAGTAATCAATACTCTGAATACATGGATGATTTTGGTTCATCACCATCACCAAGGTGATCGATTCAGAATACAGCATTACGTACACAGTATATATGTCTATGCCATATGACGTCATGTATGACAAAAGAAGGTAAATAAATCAATATGCGTGTTATGTCTGAGTAAAACAATAGTAATATAACCAATTGTTGTTTGATCGTTATGTAGTGAAGTGGGTTACGTATTGTTACGTTGACCTTATCCACAGATGCGTTCGGGCACAACCAGCCGTTGGTAAATGTACATGGGTGAAAGTTTTCTGGATTATGTCTAATTTTAGGATTTTCAGTCATTATTTTGATTGTTTTTTATTTGGTCTAAATACGATGCAAAATGCACGATACGTTTGCAGGATTTTCAGTTTTTACAACTTTCACCCATGCATATATACGCATGTGCTGTGTCCACCATCTTATTGGTAATTTGCTACGGTAATTCGGTTTGACCAAGGACATTTGGCCTTAGATGAACGTGAAATAAACTATTACAATAAGAATTCATATATATTTCTATAGGCGACTCTTGTGAATTATTGGAATCGATAGTACAAAATAGAATGAATTGGTGTGAATGTTGACATAAGAAAGTCACTAAATACTACTTGGATTTGAAGGCAAACTAATCCAATTACGGAATTCATATATATGCATTCTAAAAAAATTAATGGAAGACACCATTTTATGTCTATTTTGAAAGTCTTAATATTTTTGATCAATAGATGTATGGAAAATACGAAATGCTAAAACGTGTAAATTTATAATAAGATGGTGAAATTGTAAAAATGATCAGATATGACGTGAAACGTATTTTGACAATGTTTCCAATATTTTCCTTGAAAGACTAATGCTGACTCCATCCATTCGATGCATAGGTCTAGATGCACATATTATTTGTTAATTTGCGACCATTTCTGTCGACCCGATCAAAATAGCCATCTATAAAGAACGTATTTTATTTTATTTTTAATAATGCGTGCAGCTCGCAGACTTTTTGGGTATTCATACCTGTTAAAATCAGAGACACCGTACACACTGTACACACAACACACTTGCCACGTAGACCTACACTGTATAGTTAATTGAACTTGTAGGTAATGGGACAAAGCTCTCAGTGGATCGTTAATAATATTTCTGTCAGCCTCACCCATTTCATTAGTTCTAAAGCCTTTATCCGGTCTTATTTTTCAGATTTTTAAAGCTATGTTTCTAATTTTCCCCGATTTAGTGACGTTAAATTGGTTCAAATATGACATATTTCCTGATGTATTTTTTTAAAAAGTTATTTATTATGCGTAATGATTTTCAATCACAAAACTCGTTTTGTTTTGATACCAGCAATGTGTCTTCAATGTTACATGATTTTTTCTACGCTTTGCGCTCTAAATGTTTTGATTAGGGGTATTAATTTCTTTATTTCAGGGGGGTGAAATATGTCTTAGGGATATACAGTACATGTTATGCAGGGTACCCGTACAGGCACTTACAAAATCCCTTTTTTTCGTCTCCCGTCATTCCATCATGGTTCATTGCAGCTTCCACAGTAGGTTTGTGTATATGTGATTTATTTTATTAATTTTATTAATTTAATTTGTAATAGTGGCCTTGTGTGGGTTAATGGAGCCCCGTTTTTACTTTGTTTGTGTGTGTTTAGACTGTTTAGATTATTTTATCTTCCCCTTTTATCTTTGTACCAACCTAAAGAATTTGTCAAATCCCTATCTAAAATGTGTTTTAGGTTCACCTTTTTAAAACACACGTCAGGTGGTTAACATTTTCGTATCTGGCATAGCTGCGTATCAATTAGAAAAATAATAAAATGGGGTTGCTCTCTGTATGTCGTCCTCCACAAAAAAGTCGCTTGTGGCGCACTTTAACTTACTATACAACCAAACCTGGCACTGTGTTATCGTAAAATTGCCTAATACAATTAAAAAATAAATTACATATTAAACTAGAATTAAATTAATTAAATCTAATCCAAGGACATAGTTTCAAGCTGAGTCTTAAAACTCCGTGTGGTGTTAGGGATACTGCAGGTAAACACCGCACGTGCTGACGTAGTGAAAAACCTTCTCACTTCAGAATGATGTTCATGCGCTTAACAACATGGTAATCTAATTATCAAATTGTAATTTATTTGTCACATCTTGAGTAACTCTTATTACTCTCCCTTTTCCTTTTGTGCCTGAGTTTGTCGAAGTTTTATGACCGAAGTATCCGATATCTCGAATTAATACTTAAAAGGAAAGCGGAGTGATATCTGTTGTTCGATACAACCGTCGCCAGTGGTAACGAGTAAACATTATGGTGTTGTTCGGGACTATGTAAATATCAAATCAGCCCTCAATAATCTGTGTATTCAATCCGTGTATTCGCTTGTTCAGTCCATTCCGACTGTGTATCGAAACACGTAGTAAGTGTGCCTGAAGAGGGTCCTGTCTTCATTTCGACTTGAGCCTAGTAGTTTTCAGAAGCAGTTAATTAAAGCGCGATTAAGGCCGCTGATTTTGGGATATCCTTCACCTTTACAGTTTTTGGGTCAATTTTTAAGGAGACATTTTATTCACCATGGGATGTAACAACAGTAAGAATACAGAGACCGCTGGTGGCTCTCAGAAACCCGCACCAAAAGCCGAAGATAAGCCAGCGGACAAAGTCATTGAAGAGCCACAAAAAGACACAGCTGAGACAGGTTTGTAATTATAATTCATCAAGTTCTACTAATTAAATAGCATAAAAATCTTAAATTCCTTGGGACTTGTGCTATAATTTAAGTCAAGTGATCGTCAGGGTTTAGAGAGTGTTCACTAAACCTTGTTTTGATCCAAGAATAATTTTATTTGAAAATATTGTTACGTTACTTTGTTATAATTTAATTTTATGTTTCTTTTTTTCATATCCATATGTTACTAATGTGATTTGATAAGTTATGCAAATGTATGGCCCTAGTTGAAAGATAGATTTAACCAAGAGCAATTTATGTAGTAGAGAAACTAAATTTATTCCAGAGAAGATATCTTCAGACTGTAATTTCAGACATTCTGAGCATATTAGTATTGCGGTATATATCATTTTTCAATAAACCTAACACATTTTCAGCCAAATTGATCTTATTGACCTTTCATTCATAGGAAATCTCTTTTGTGAAAGTACAAACAAAGGTATTTGAAGTGAATGGATTCAATAAAAATCTAGCCAATTAACACTATAATTCCATTACATGAATATAAAATATAGTTTTCTGAGTGTTACATCCAACTTTCACTTGTAGATTATTTTAAGGAAGATCAGGTAGCATAAGAATTGATACACGTCTGGTAGGTGTGCTCTTACAATGTCAGACTCAGTCATCCGTGAATTTGCTGTTGTGATCGAATATGTAACTACAACAAATACCTGTTATACATTCGTATCTGTTTGTTTGTCAGGAAATAAGAATAAGATACATATGATGACATTAAAATGTTATTAGATTTTATTAAATCAGAAAAAAATATAATTATTTGTGAGTTTTGTATTTTTTAGCTGATTGTTTTTGGTGTAAGTTAAAAGAGCTATTCAAGTCTTTGTAGAATATAAATGTAACACTCTGATTAATTAGAGAAGTAAGTTGCCCTCTGTAAATCTCTGTAAAAGAAAATAAAACAAAGCTCATGTAACTTGTTGAATAAGTCTAAAATAACTTGTTAACTTTATCAATAACTAATTAAGTAAAGATTCTTATAAATTTATAGTAAAGACCAGTCTGTTTACCTGGTTGTTTGAATAACAGACTCAGCATTGTTCATATTATTGACTTATTGGACATCAGTGTAAGAGCAAATAGAGGCTTAGATAATGCAGGGATTATAATCTTGACCAACAATACAAACATTGTATCATTGCCCTTGATTAAGTATAATATGGTGTTAAGATTATACATTTTTATTCAGTTTGGTTCATGCTGTTCTTTCAAAAACTTATATAAATCTGTGGCCCATTCATTAATGTTAAGGCAATATCAGGAATACTCTTACTTATAAGTGGCAATCTGAGTGGATCTATCTTGAGCTTAAAACCTGGAATAAAATAAATGATCCTAAATATGTTAAAGCTTAATCAAATAGTTAACCTACTAGTACCTTTTTGTGAGTTGTTTCTCATACAAGACAACAAACAAATATCCAGTATGAAGGTCATTTCATGGGGTATGTCCTTCTTAGCTTAAATTTGACCATCCCTAGTGGGGCTGTAGCAATAGTCTGAAGGTTCAAAAGTCTGAATGTTCATTGGTCCAAATGTTCTAAAGTGAACATTTGGATCAATGAACCATTGATTAAAAAATTAGGAAAATGTTACCATTTTTCAGACCAATGGACCTTCAGACTATCGAGATGCCCCAGCATGGTAGGCCTATGGGGCACTTTAGACACATGCCCCCCCCCCTTCTCCCACCCCAGATTATCTTATTTCTTTAATTGTCATGCAAATATTTTTAAAACTCCCCTCTCTGATCTCACCAATTTCATGGATCCACCAGTGCTTTGGACCTTGAGAATGGGCCAGAGTGAGTGGCAATCAGATTTTATGCAACAAACTTGAAAATAATACACACAGCACCAACTGTATTTTACTTTCAATTTGCAGGGGAAAGTTCTCCAAAAGAGGAACAAATCAATAAAGAGAATGAAGAGAAGAAAGACGAAGAAAAACCAACAGAAGGTAAGATCATCAGAATTATTTTACTTTCAGTTTACTTCAACAATACATCAAATAACTGAAAATGAAATTTTTCAGAAACTTCCCCCATGTTTTTCTTATGTAGCAGACAAAGAAGTTAAAAAGGGGAGTGTATGGAGTTATGACAAGGGAGTTAAAAATGATATACAAACCAAATCTGTGCAAGCATAGTTTAACTTTCACTGCTTTACATCTTGCATTGATCTCTGTAATTGTTCAGTCAATAATTTGTTACGTATTTCATGCTTATGCAGCAATCACATAGGCTTGGTGCCAGTTAGCATTTCATGATAATGTGCTTTGTGTGGCATATTTAGCTTTGCATATGCAATTTTTGCCAATTAAAGGTGACACTTCAACAGCACCTGCTACGGAAGAAAAAACAGAAGAGACAGCAGCAACAACAACAGAAACCAGTGGTAAGATTTAACCACCATATAATGTGCAAATGTTAATGAAAATATTTAGTGAGAAGTGTTTTGTAATACATAACCAATTGGACCAAATAGGTATGTGCACATGCAAGTGATTCATCCAGTTTTTCCCTTCTTTTTGATTTAAAATTTTCTCCTTTTAAAAAACAGAAATGTTTCAACTTGAACAAAAAAAACATATTCTTTGTTTTTAAGAACTGGGATGCATTACACTTTTTTCACCATAGTTGGGATATTGACTACAAGACTAACAGTGACCAATATTTAATTGCTAGTGCTTTTATTAACACGCATCTCAAACTGCATAATCTAAGCATTTAACTTGCAATTTCTGGTACAATAATGCTTTGTTATTAGCCAAGCCATAATGCTTACTAGCCTAAGAATTGCTTTTTTTCAAAAATATAAGGTGAAACAGCTGCTCCTGCAACAGAGGAAAAAACAGAAACGACAACAGAAGGTACTTTTATGTTGTAGAATTTGACCCAAAGTACAACAACACAACTGTTTTTTGTTTGCACATCTGAGACTATTTTTAGGATGATAATAATGACAATTTTCAGTTTTATCAGGATACAAGCAGTAAGACATGTGATAGATAATTAGAATAACTATTTCTTGTATATGATTCTGTTCATTAAACTCCAGTAATAACCATTTTGAGTTATGGCCACCTATTCTTAGTCCCAGATCAAATAGTTCTGCAAAAACAGTTGTGTTCATCTAACACCTAACATAGACTGAAAATAGTCTATTTGATGTCCCCAAACAAAGGAAGGTTTTACAGTCCAATTTCAAGACAGTCTGGTTGTTTAGTCCAGTCCCATTTTTGTCCTTATGTGAACATTTCCTAACATTTTCTCTATACTGATGCATGCACTTATTTTTATTTTTTGTTTATATATGTGTTAATTTATTATTATTATTTTAAATGCTAAAGGTGCTTTTACAGTTGAGTTGTGGCTACCTAACTCAGTACCATATTTTACCTGTAGCATGCCAGAAAACTCCATTACAAATGGTAGTGGGTTGGACAAGAGAGAAAACATATTGAACCCCAATGGTTACATAGAGTTACTGTCATAATAAGTGAAGCCATTTCAACTGGACTGTATACGTACTTTAATTGTTGGTGCTTTGTGAAAAAGTCAGTTATTTGTTGTTCAATGAGTATTATACATGTATACCCCAAAGTTATAATGTGATACAAAAATTGAGATCAGCTCTCTTCAAAATCAATTCAAGTTTAGATGCTAGCTAAAATCCTTTTCTTTTGCTCTTAAATACAGCTTGGCAGTTTTGTTTTGTGTTCTTGGTGTTCTTACAAAACCTGCCATTCCTGTGGAGGAGAGTGCAATGGCACTTGCCATAGTTGCACGTTTTGCCATTGAAATATTGGGCTCCAAGAAATCAATCAAGAAAAATGTTTCTGAATATTTCATAGAGATAGACACTTGAACACATACTTGTATTGGATGATTAAATCAAATTGGTTATGAAGTATCCTATTAAAAGGTACATTTGTAGTTATTACAAGTGAAATATTTTGCTGTGTGTCATAAAATTCCTCCCAACCAATCATAGTAATTAGCTTATTGGAAATAACCACACATTTATTAGATTCTTTTTAGGTTAATAATGTGCTTAGTGGTACCTGGTACCTTGGAACATTTATTAATTCAATTTCATCACACCCACCAAGTAAACTCCATTAAAACAAGATATATTTATTAATTCCAATTTTATCACTTCCACCATGTAAACCCCATTAAAACAAGGAGACTCTACAAAACATATCAAAACACTGGCAATTTTTTTCCAATGTTATCTCATAGAATATGAAACCATGTCCACATGCCTGACAAAAAACAAGTAGCCAAGGAAGATAAATGTAAAATAAAACCAAAAGAACCTATTTAATAACACATTCCCCCTTGGATACCCATTTCTGGAGTGGATACTTGTAAAAATCCCCCTCTGAGCCTAATCCCAAACAGATCATATCAGGCCGTACAAACACCAAGGCCGTGATCCAATAACAGCCAGGCTCTTGTCCACGTTATTATGATTTGTATACAGGTAACCAAGGGAGGGTATTGACACAGCCATCAATGACAGTCTGGCTCTGAATGTTTACATGTAAAATTATACCCACTGTGGGTTGGATATGCATGAGAGCTATTTAATGATATATCCCATGCTGCACTTGTATTTGTCTGGGTTGCTCATATTTAATAAAACATTGCGTGCTGTTGCCATAATGAACTTTACATATAATTAAAAAGGTATGCTTCAAAGGTATCTGATGATGTATCACTGCGCATATATTTGTCTCTAAGTTGATACAATGTATTAAAATAGTCTGCATTATTGGCACAACTAAATTTGATGTCTAATTGGGAGAAAAGCATGATAATGCTTTAGTGATGATTTGTCACTGTATTCGTTTGTTTGGTCATATGAGAATGCAGCGTTGCCATAACTGAAGAGCATATAATTAATCAAATGTGTCAGGGACATGCTTCAGGTGTGATATTTTATTAACACATACGAAGAGCAATGTTGGGCGGAGACAGATTACAATTACAAACATTAATTAATCTTACTATTGATCCATTATTGCATAATGTAATCAACATGATATCATAGTGAATAACATATGATAATTTTATCAACTAGGTTAATGTAAGTGCAGAATCAATTAGAATTTATAGACTGCCATTGTTTTAGGTAATTGATGTCATGGTATAGTTGCTTGGGAAGCTGTTATGTTGTAATTTTAATATTTGTCAACTCATCAACCAGTCCCTTTAAAATACTTATCCAATCAATAGTAGAATTTAATAAAATTCATAAGCTTGATATTTATATTATGCAAATTTAAGCAACTCTCTTTTAGATATTGGAATATTAAATGAGATATTAGTATGTACATGTAGTACAATTGTGTCCATCCAACAGAACATACCCTCTGATATAAGATAGGTCAGATTCTTTTTACTTCCTTAATACTTTTTTTTCTGATAACGCTATTAACCTCTAAATGTTCATATACACTTCTTGTCTATCTGTCTACATTTGATTGTACACCATGACAACCAGTATTAATATCCACCCCTCATCTTATCAACATAATTAAAGGTAGTACAGAGATGACAACAGATGTGGAAGATGAAAATAGAACAGACACTGAGCCAGTGGACGACTGTCCTCAGCAGACACCTGAGGAAAAAAAATTATCTGAAAATCCAAAACAAAAAGACGAAGTAGTTGAACTAAATAAAGAGGAAGCTGGAGAGGATTCAGAGAAACCAGATGAAAATAAAGAGGAATCTGTGACTGTAGAAAATAAAACAGATGATTCTAAAATAGCTGAAGAGGTGATACTGCCACCATCCATAGAGGCAGACACTGGGATCATGGCTCAGGAGTGTCAAGATGACGTGCAGCCTGAACCCAGTGAAGGTGACATGCTCGTGCCGCCTCTGCATGTATCCCAGAAATCACCCGCTGTAGTCAAACCTAGACCATAATGCATCATTCAACCTCTTAATGACATTTTTCTGTTCATCCCAACAAATATCCTACCTCTTGCACTTTTAATAGTTAGAACAGACTAACAAAAAATTAGGTGCTCAGTCGCATTTGAGTTCTCAACCCTCTACATGAACCTATAAGAAATTCCTCTTATAATGGTGACATATTTTGCATGTAGCATGATGGTTTTATCCAGCTTTCAGATCAAATACCCACTTTGTTTTATTCATTATCAAATTGTTTCTTTAATTACCTCTTTCTTATGATTTTTTTGGTGGATGGTTTTGCTGTTGGTACAATTGTGTATTTGATCCCAGTTTATTGGAAGATGGGCATCATTTCTTTTGATCCCTTTGATAGCACAGTGTAAAAATGCATGCCTGCATGAATATTACAAGATCTATTTGGGTACTTCTACAGGTACAAATTGTAGTAAATCCTTCTGAAATTTTAATTCAAATTTAATGTTGTGTTTTATTTCTCCTTTTTATGGTGGTCTGAAAGATTTTAAGTGAGATTTAGTGATTTATGTCAGGTGATGGGAGTAAATTTAAATCAGTACCTGTGTCTTTTTACCTTTTAGATTTGTTGTGTTATGTATATAGCTCCAAGTACATAGTAGTAAAATGCATGATGAAATTCAGGGAAATGAAATCAATGCATGTTACCGGGTACTATGAATTCTGTAGAAGCTTAATATTGGAACTGATATTACTTCATATAGTAAAGTAGCATCAGCTCACTTCATTTTAGTATTTTTATGTGTGTTTGCTTAACATTTTTGTTATATTTTGGAAACAGTATCAGATAAGCAATGAATTTGATGTTTCAATTCCTGAGCCATAATGAATTTTTAGCTTTTGGGGAAAGACGTGTTGGCTAGTGTGAGCCGATAATAATGTGTTATATTTTCCAACTTTTGTTCATTTTGCTACAAATTTTTCAAATTGGCAGTAACCTTAATTACCTACATTAAAAGTTTGTTAAAATTTTGTAGTTCTCTTTTTTCACTGCATTTTGTTTGCAGTCCAGTTAAAGAATTAACCAATGTTTTATTTGTGTTTTTTTTTTCTCTTTACAGGGGAACAGAAGCCAGCTGAAGATGAAGCACAGAAACCTGCTGAGGAGGGAGAGGCAGCAAAGCCAGCTGAAGGTAAAGTGTCCTGTTAAATGCTCTTTTCTAAAGTAATTAAATCAGTAGATGGACTAACAGCTGGAAGGGTATCACACCCTTTCTCTTCCCCTGTTACCAATGTTGAAGGATTTTGATTAATTTTTTTTAACCAAACATCTCCTTCTCATTTGTGCTTTTCTTTGGCCAGCAAAAATTACATAATTGATACAAGATTTAACAGTATCATTCTGTTTAAGGGTCATTATTTACTAGACCAAGTAGTATATGCACTACTACTTACCCTAACTATATAGACATATCCATAGTGGCTTGTTGATTTTGCTGAAAGAAGTATATAATCTCTACAAAGGGGTCAATACAAATATTTAATGGTGTTTGGATTCTCTGAGGCTGATGAGAAATCAGACTATGTTTCACCTTGATTTTAATTTAGAACATTGCTTTATTTTTGAATCCCCTATTGTGCAATACTTTCATTTTTGTCTTTTTGAAAATCTGGGAATATTCAAAATTGAACTTTTTCCCATTTAAATCTTTTTAGAAAAATGAATAGATGCACCAGTGCATCTCTTATCTTGAAATGCATAAAGATGGTGCATACTTACAAAGAAATTTATATTCCTTTTTTTTCTCTAAAGTTACACTTATTCTATTTCAGAAGCTGCCCCAGCAGATAGTGAACAACAACAAGCAGCTGCAGAATAAATCTTCCCTTAAGTATAGACTTTTTATAGACATTTACAACTGCTCAAACCTTGACACAGAAAATAGTTTCCTATCGTTAACATGCTTGTGTGCCTAAAGACATCTGAAGATGGAGTAAAAAAAAAAAAAAGAAAAGAAAAGAAAAAGGAACTGGAATAAAATGATCTTGTGGTTGTGATGAGACAGTCCCAGTGAATTTCAGAGGCGGAGGAGCAAACATTTTACTCCCTTATTGCTGAATAAAACCCTTTTTGGTAAAATGTAGTGTTTGGCCCTCCCCCCTCCAATCTTCCATTGTTTAAACATGGCATATGTAAAATATGTAGGATAGACTCTATTTTTTATATAAGTTGTAATTGTGTGTAAGTATATACATAAATATGAACATATATATATTTAAGCAGCTCAACCATGCCAATTACATGGTGTATTATTATTATTATGAATATAGTTGTTATGGTTGGCGTCTTCACCACTGTGATCACATCTCATTAAAATGCTTATACTGCGCATGTATGATACACCTTTTATTTCTAGAGTAGATTTACAGTCATAATATCATTGATTTATGTACATATTTTCTAATCATTTTATAGTCTGCAAAACTAACTATCCAAACAATGCTTTGGGCTGGTCTGTAACTGCTGTTTTTAAACAACTTTACTATTTGTGACTCCCATTTCTGGGCGCATCTTTAAGATACATTTATTTTTATATTTGGACTATGTCAACTTCCAATATTTTTTCAAAATATTCAGGTCTAGCAATTCAGTCAGTTTTGAAATTCTTTTAATTTATACCTTTATTTCTTAACTTTAATTTCAAGAAGATTTTAGTCAGGTACTTATTCCTTATCTAGTCCTGTAACACTTATTAACACATATTTCTTTTACTCCATTTTTAATTGGTCAGTTTTTAGCTTTATAACGGAAATGACAGTTTTACAGTCAGGGGCATAGATTGTTTTGGAAAAGCAGTTTAAGAAATTTTTGATTTTTTTTACAGTCCTACCTATTTCTAACAATAGTTTCCATTGTGGCAACTGCAAAGCCTTGCATAATATGACTCAACTTATTACATTTGGATTTAGGTACCATTTCATCACATAGATAATGAATTAGCAACTTTTAGTTGTAGAATTTTTCTTATGATTTAAGAATATTTTTCTGTGCAATCATGTCAGATCATAAATCATAGGGTCTTGGCATTTCTTAGGCACCTGGGCTTACTCTAACATATACATCTTTTTAAAAACAAAGTTGCCATCGACGTGACCTAGAAATGTAAATTATCTCAAATGACTTAGTATTGATTTCACTGAGTAAATGTAATTTGGGCAGGAAAATTCCTAAGACAAAAATTATGTGAGCGTGAGCCCAGGGTTTATGGAGTTCACATATAGAGGGAGGGACATGTGCAAGGCTGTATCTAGGGTAGGCCGTAAGTGCAAGTGTATATACAGTGTATCTATATAGGTTAAAACAATCAACTTCTATATGGTGTACAGATTGATACCTATCTCAAGGTGGACATGTATGAAGGGCTTTGCAGTTTAGTGATGGAACTTAACTCCCGATGGAATTATTTGGTAACATTTATCAGTACTGCTCAATTTTCAATTACATGTATTTATGATTTTGCATGATTACCATCGTCTTCCTTGTTTAATTTTTTAAATGTGAAAATCTTGCCAAAAACTGCACAAAAAGACAGCTGTTCCGTCCAAAAAAAAGGAAAAATATGACCAGTGAACATTTGGACAATCTGGGGTGATTTCGTAGATCAATCAACTAATTTGATTACCTATACGGAAATGACCGGGTTGTCTCAAATGGACCTTTGAACTGACATGTCTCAAGTAAATTCCATCTACTATAAACTGTGTTTATTTACTAAATGTTTGACGGATCATAGAGACGGTTTCTCCATCAGCACCCCGACTTTCAATATTTATCAGTTTCATTTCGCACACAACAAATGTCCATTTCACGAGGGTTTTAAAGGTTTTCAAATCTGATTTCAATTGGGCTAAATAACAAGTAAAAGTTGGGTTAAGTACCTTCTTGCGAAATATCCTAAAATGTTTTGGACTTGACTGCTCCAAAGTAAAGTCAAGATTGATGAAATAACTATCTGAAACTTGGGGTGCTGAGAGAGTCACTGAAACGCCAGAACACGTTGCTTAAGACCCAAGTCTTTTGAAATGTGTCTTTATTTAATAGGTTCAAGTTTGAGAAGTACCAAATTCGTGTAATGAGTTTGTATGGTTAAGTCAACATTGAAGTCAGGCTGTTTCATGATCAGTTTTTGTATATATAGACTAGTATTTTTAAAATAAAATGATTGTATTCTTAGTATAGTACTTTCTTGTCATTCATATTTTCATTTTGTAGTCAAACAAAGTAACCTTAAAGTGAAAAAAGAAACTGCTTTTTTCTCTGAAAGAATAACATTTTTGAACACGATGTAAACTTAACTCGCGCTTATATTTACAAGGACGATGAAGCAAATATTCTCATTATGGCTTCTTACAACTTGTGTGTAAGATATACACAGCTAATATAACTACAAGAGAACTAACATGGCTGCTCCGTTAAAATATATTACAACGATACCAGTAACCAAAGACGGGCATGTCGATTGCCCCATTTTTGTCAGGTATTCTATTGTTATCTATAACAGCTTTCAATGTTCCTCCACCACTGCTGTGCTGCACGTGGACAGTGATGGTCCTACTGAACAGAGCCAGATAGCGCTATCACACACCAATCCTATGTAATAGTTGATTGCACTTGGATTGATAATGTGGGTCAAGAGCCCATACTCATGGTCATATGGTATTTATACAAATGTAGGGGCGTCTAAAGATCACTTCAAACATTTTAATCAACAGGTGTCATTAAAACCACCAGGACCGTTTACACCGTATACTTTGGCATAAGACCGCGTTTCTTTTTGTTTTAAACATGAACATGAGGATTACAGTTGTGTTTTTGTGCGTTTCCGTTTTCGCTCTGGATGTCATAGCAACCGCTACTAATAACTCTACCACTACTCCAGCACCGACGACTCAAACAACGAAAAGTACGACTGTGACACCGACGACTCAAACTACTCAGAAACCAACCACGACAGCGTCAAAAACCACCCAAACTACCAAGACACCAACCACGACATCGTCACAGACTACCCAGACTACAAAGAAGCCAACCACGACAGCGTCATCGACTACCCAAACTACCAAGACACCAACCACGACGGCGTCATCGACTACCCAAACTACCAAGACACCAACCACGACAGCGTCACAAACTACCCAAACCACCAAAATGCCAACTACGACTGCCTCACAGACCACCCAAACTACCCAGAAGTCAACCACAACGGCTTCCCCTACTACCAAAACGTCACGCAAGGCCACCACAATGACGCAAACAACTCAGCGCATGACCACCGAAGTTGTAACGAAAGCAACCGCCACGAAATCTATGACTACAGGCACCACCAGTAAGAGTGCTACTACCGGATCTCATACGACACAAAGTAGAAAACCCACCCCGACAACTCCGAAAAATGACGGTGCGTTTCTCAAGTCATTGCCGCTCCAGACTCTCCTGTTACCGTTACTCGCCTCCCTGATTGGGCTTAAGCAGTTTTTATAAACAGAAATTAACGGGGAACTTAATCATTTTTTAGGATGGAAAAAAGAACTAAAGATTAAAAACTGTAACAGATAAAAAATGGCTCCAAGAAGATAGCCAAAGACTGTCGGAGAACGGTAGTTTTGACGAGAAAAAGATGATTGTAGGTATAAACTAATTAAATCCTTACCTGAAAGGCCGCCTGTTGCTAATGATATATATGGGAGTGAACATTCGCGAGCAAGTTATATTTAATTTAATCTCCAATACCAGCTACTCTTTTCATCAACAAAAAGATTTAGGTTTTTGTAAATTAAGCTGCAAAACAGATCAGCAAAAACTGGAAAAAAATCAATATTGACCTTATGAATGTCTAGCTTATTGTTTATTATGGTATTATATAATAGACGTCTACGAGACCATTCTTTTTAGAATAGTGGACATGCAAGACATGAGGGGAAATAATATACTTGGTTTTAGGTACCGTTTTTTAATAATTAATATTAATTGGTGTAGCCCTGCCCCCTTGAATATAATTCATCTTTGTAATTTTCCAATACACACATTTTGTACTCAGTTGAAGTTCTTTCACCCAGGTGTCATGTAAACTTCAATGATACTTGAAAATACTCTGTCTTTATAAATATATTTCTATATGTCTTTATCACCACTGCGATTAACGAAATAGTTTTAATTCTAAAATATTTCTGTGATGTTTACTTTGCATTTTGAATGAATAAGTCGTTGATATAATCATTTGTCAATTGAAGGTACAAATATGAAAATAGTTACAAAGGTCTATAAATTAATTTTCAAGGTTGGTTGGGTAAAGGTGCAATGTTAACCGATTTAGGCCTACTAAAGGCACACACAGACCATTTCATTCCGAGACTGATGTATATATATCAACATATATGTTGAACTTTCGGTTTATAGAACACACATTGCACATTAGTAACTGCGTTATAGTTTTTTCTTGGAAAAATAATCCTATTGGTTTCCAAGCATACGTATGTACAAAAGGCCTAGGCGCACTGATGAAGAGTAACATGTACAAGATAAGTTTAAAAGCTATCTAGGTAAATCATTAATTTCTACGAAGAGAAGTTTGATCCTCTTATCTCTGGGTTATCGTTTATCTAGGTGTTGCAATTGTCATCTCGCAGTTGGACATTGGGGCATTTCACCACGTGGAAGACGTCACATCCAGGTGTTAATTTCAGAATGTTGAGTAATGAATTGGGTTAGTAAAGAAAATCGGTTTTATCATTTTTCATCAGTTAAAAATTCTTATTTCTTTTTTTTTAAGCGAGGAAATGTCACAATCAAAATTCTTGTTCTCTCTATATTTGTACATAGATATTAAACTTTGAATTGTGTTATCGGAGCTTGGGTGTCTAGCACATTTATCATTTGCTTTGCGCAGCTAGCTTGTATGCTATAATGCATCTTTATTACTTCCCTGGCCAATAATACTGGAGATGAAAAAAGAAGGCGTAGTCTAGCGGACGATTTGAAATATTCATTATGAAAAGCTAAATATGGTATTTTGATAAAGTTATTTGTGCAGTTTAAAAACAATTAAATCAGTTACGAAATCAAATAAGTTAATACTGTAGATAATATGAAAACACTAAGGCATGAGGAAGATGGATAAGACAAACTTGATTAAGTATAGCAAATAACAAATAAATTCATCTAATAAAGGTAGCACGTGTTTACATTGTGAAATATACATGGAACGCTGTGGGTGAACGCCTCCAAAATGTTCATTTTTCTTTTTTCACAGCTGCTTCTTCCGATTCTTCAGTTCATCTAGTTTGTTTGAGGTTGTGAGCTTTTCCCTTCTCAAGACACACTGTGGTATTAGGAAGCCAATAAAATTTAACGTAACTTGCTCTGATGATTAACGTTTCGCATCATTCGTCTTAGCACAATTCTAGCTAAAACCATGGGCAGTTAATGGTCATAGTACCACTGTTTATCAATCACACTGGTTTCAAGATAACTACACTGGATATCGTCATAATTGACACGTACCCTATCCAAGCCGAACACGACCTGTAAGGGCATAAGAGGATCTACATGTTTATGGAAATTGTATCTCGCTGGCAAAGTATGGTGCATTTCGGACGACACAGACAATTGGGCTTTCATCATTGAAGGGTGCATTTTGTTTACACTGGTCCCCACCCCGAGAAAATAAATAAAAGTTTCCAGGAAAAGGTCATCTGTTCTGTTTTACCGACAGCTTGATTTCCTTTGAATGACCCCTTTCCTCGGTTTATAAAATCCTCATTCAAATGTTCTCCATGTTCATACGTGTTTTAGCAAACAAAGCCATCGCTGTGACAAGAAGAAAAGCGACCGGATGGCACGCTGGGCTGCCTTTTTTCACTGTATATCACTAACATTTCATAGTTATTTTATGATAAGATTCCTTCTTCCAAGCTCTATTTTCAAAAAGAATACCATTTCCATCATCAGTTTCAATAGTCACTATAAAGTAATTTTCATATTTGCTGTGTTAAGTGTACGAAATCCACTATATTATATGATATCAATCAAAAGCAAGCGGAAGGCTTATCATCTACTAATTTCATACAAAAGTTGTTGTCTTTGTTTCTATGTTGTATTTCACAATATCATTCTATTATTTATATTTTCAGATGATGCGCGAAAAAACATTTTGAGAAAAAAACGTATACACCATTCTTAAAAGTTAGACCAGGAATGATTTTCTGATCTATAAGATCTTTAAAAATGTCTAAAGCAGAAGACATGATCTATGTAGTCGTAGCTAATATGAGTCGAACTGAACTCAACAACTCATCACGCAAAACAATGCTTCTGTGAAAACTAATCCCTTTTGGAATCGAATCTCGAAGGGGAAGTTTGGATTTCCCTATCTGTAAACGTAATCTTCTCACAAAATTACATCTACACTGTGCTTCTATACAATCGACTAGACCTGTTAAAACCAATACAGACTCTAGGTAATGTGCTGATTCGGAACGTTCTGGTGTGATATTACAAGGCTAGCGAGTAATGTGCTGGATTCGGCATTTTGGAGATGTTTGGGGAGACCACCACCCCACCCCACCATCCCCGTGACTCAATCAGTGAAAACACAACAAAAAGGATCCACACCCTTTGCGTCACACATCACCCCATAATCCCTGTTCCTGATCCTTTGGCAAAGGATAGAAGATCACTAAGATCATCTCTTTATTTGTCACTGGGGCATCTTTTATCACTCATATTGAAATTCAAAACAGAAAAGCGACATTTCTCATGATTACTCGTATTGTCTGTGTTTCATAGAATGTGACCACGGAAAGGGCAGATTCGCAATGTTATTGTGTAATCATTGATGACCCCCCCCCCCTTGAATTCATCCTACCCCTCAATAAGGAGTCGTAACCATTTAAGGAACTAATCTTTAAAAAGTCGTTATTTTACATTGAAACGCTGTGTGACTCTTGGGATAAAGTAAAAATTGTTTTTCTGCATCATCGCATGCCAAATATACCAGCTAATCTTCCTTCTAGATTAAGAAATGAACAGCTTTAAGTGAAAATCATCAGTCAAATTTAGAAATGCTATTTAGCGAATAAATCTCTTGGGTTAGCCAGTACTCAGGGTCGCGTCACGGCAATAGCCTAGATAAAATTATTTCATTGCTATATTATCTAAAACGGAGACTGGCAATTAATATATACAGACAGAGAGTAAGATGGACAGAGAGGCATACACGAAGGCAAAACGGAGGACTAACAGACAGATTGCCAAACGGTTCTGCAGTCAGACGTACAGATAGACGGATGGTCAGAGACACTCAGAAACAATCATGGTGAACTTTTGCTAAATCTGTCTATACGAATTACTCTATTGTATTTACTTGTTGACTGACACAGAGTGTAACCCCAATGACAGATATAAAGAAGCATGTCGACCATTTTGAACATCCACGATACCAAATGTCTGTGCAGGAGGTCAATGAAGCCCCATTGATGACCCTCTGTTTTCTTAATGGGCAGATTGACTTGACTGAAAGAACGCAAAAGGCTCAAAATGGTACAGCAAAATTCAATAAAAATTGACAAATTATATTACTAAAGAGAATTTTTTTCAATCCTGTATGAAGTTTGAGCGTCCGTATACGTATATGGAGGTTGCCGTCAGGCAAACAGTTAGATGGGTATTACTCAACTGTGGTTGTGTCAATTTTAACTTCCAAAAGAGCGATTGTTCAAATGAACGATCTCACGCAACGTTGTTCGGAAACAGCGGTGTTACAATGCACTGTAAGCACTGAGAGCCAGAAGAGATATTATAGCTTTCACACTGATATAGATATATATATATAAGTATTATGAAAGGAATTTCAAGCTATGAAATGACGTCAAGTCCTAATAGCATTTCATAGGCCATAGAACTGACCACATTATGATGATTGATACATGATTAAGGATATTGTAACCCTTTATTATCATCCAGATACCAAAAATAAGGTTTTTCCTGCATCTAATTATTCAATTATGCCTCTATCTTTGTGTGGATTTAAAACAATAAAATCTCCTCGAAAATATAAGATATCGTCGATTATATTTCTTGTTGCAATGCATAAGCACAGACAAGTCAAAGCTTTAATCGTCAATTTAACACCTTTTTATTTTGAGGTGAGATAGCAATCGGAATGGGGCGTAACGTCTTCCCTAAACAAGATTTTATCACAAAAATTGGCAGAGTTGACCGCAAGTGTATGGGCTACAATCCTGTCCTGCCATTTTGATTTAAATGCCTTTGTTATGGAGTTATGTTACGGATTTTCATTAAACAAAGACATTTTTTTGCGTCATCAACAACAAAATCTGAACTAAGACTAGTAAGAAAAATCGCTGGTGGGTTTTTGAGTACTAAATGGTGTTATTAAATTGGCGTTAAAACAGTGTTTGTGGATGCTCAGGTAAAGAAGATATTTGAGAAACCGATTTTTCCATTTTTACCCCAAAATCGCAATTATGACTTCACCCGTAAGATGACATATGTGTAAATGTTAATTAATTTAGTCACTGAACACTGAAGATTTATCTGTTATCCAAAAGAATGTATGTAAGGCAGTAAACAAGGAGTATTTGGCGAAGGGTTGCAATATTCTTAAACTATAAAGCCCTTCTTATAAAGCTCTTTCAACACCTACTCATCTAAAATTGATAGATTATCTCATCTTTATTTTGCTAAAAACAGATAACAGTGCACAATTTGTACCGTCTGTAGTCTTGATGATTTATTGTTTGGTTGATTCTTTTGCGCCATTATGATTTATCATTAAGTGCCTGATCTCCGATTGATCGCTTCTTATCTCAAAGTCGGGAAATTGTATGGTTTACTTTGTTTTTGTTCTTTTTAGCATATCAACCAATTTTAATTTTCAGGTCCTTTTTTAAAACACAAATCAGTCTGTTTTATGGCTTTTGGCGTAATTATCACTTGGGTTTTTATGTAATGTTACAAAGCGACCAGGAATTTACATGATAGACGTTTTTAAGGCAAATGTTATGTAAGATTATGCAATGAGTTTAATGTTACATGTAGGTGGCCTTCAAAAGACTGACTCATTTATTTTTGCCTCAATCGTGTACATGTGAAATGTGTTTTGTTATGAGAATAACGCTTCATACTAAATATTGCATAATGGACAATACATGTATAACAAATAGTTTTGTTCTAAAACTGGTATGGAAATATAATGTACGATTGTAAAACATACCTTAAAACGGAATTTTATATTATTCTTAGGTAAAGTGTATATGATAAATTTCCGTTGGCAATGCAGAATCTTCTAATGAATTAAACTTAGTATTATCAAAGCAGGGAAAAGAAGAGAAAAGATGGAATACAGTTATGAAAAACTATTTATTACTTCCCTGGCCAGTGTGCACTTACTAGTGAGAGGGAAAACTAAGGACAGGCTGGCGTTTTACAATATTCATTATGGTAACTACATCATTACTACGATGTGTTTTTAACTTTATCTCTAAGTTAAATAGATAATTATAATATTTATTGTGTAATTTCGAACGGACGCTCATTGAATAGATATAGGAAAGATAATACGGGCCACTGCAGATAATTTTATGGCACTACTTGAAGGGTAAATTGTATTTAAAATACAGAAAAGTAATTAAAGGCACTGATATTTACTTCAAACATGCACCTCCCTAGGAGTATCGGAAAAGGTCGGCCTGTCGCACGTAACGGGGCAGATGCGAGCAGCAATTATTGAAAAATTTATCGGTCACAAACAGCTCAGTTTTCATGGTACTTGATAATTGATTAAATACGCCTTCGCTTCTTGTCTCTGTTTCAGCGGGAAGAATATGTAACACCATTTATGAAATTGCAAAAATCAATTTCGATAAGAAACAGAATTGTCGCTAGTTCACATGAGGGATACACCTACACAATTACGAATATGTTACACGTGCCTTTCAAAATACTCTTTACCTTTCATTTTGCAAACGCCCATAGTATTTGCCATACCGGATAGAATCAAACCCGACGTGGAGATAAGACCTCCTTAATAATATGTTTCTTATGGGGGTATAGCAAATGGCAGGATAGCAAAAAATTTTTAATTTCTGTACCTTTTCCGTTTGTACTGTTTATAATTGTTGTAATTGTTTGCCTTCCCATATTTTCTCTCTCTCTCTCTCTCTCTCTCTCTCTCTCTCTCTCTCTCACAAGTTTTCAAAATGACGCAACAGATGCCGTTATAAATCGAAACTGGCACAGTCATTGCTGAAAAGTAATTACATATTTGCTATTTCCCTGACAATCAGTGCGAGACCTCGGGACCAAATCGCTTTTAACAACGTTTTTGTGGGTGATCAATTATTGTTCAATGATTGGAATAGTTATTATTGAAAATATTTTGGAAAGAGAAAAGTTAGTTAAACAATTTCCCAAATGCAGCTGGTCATCTGCTGCTAAACAGAGTGTCTGGTTTATAAAAGATGACAACTGTTGGATGAAGCAATCATCGACAAACTCAGACCTAATGAGTTTGACGGTCCTTCCGCCTGAGATAACGTCCTGTGACGTCTGCGCACTGCATGATTATCATCCTCACAGGGGAGCTAAATAATTAACTTATTGCCAGTGGCGGTATAAACTGCAGACGCACACCAAACTGAGAGCAGTCAGAAGGAAAATCGGCAACCAACAGGTGACAAAACTACGAATCTGTATGACTCTGGCAGTGCACTATTCTTAAGCTTGGAAATACCCCCAGCTTGTCCATAGAAGGTTGGCATTCGTTTTTTCATCCTCGCACGGTAGGTGGATAGCTCAGGTTCATATTTTTGAGTGAATTGATATTTCACGATTTTGAATACTCTTTTTGGTTCTTTCTTTTTTTCTTGGTCACTGGGAATTTTTTTATGGAAGTTAAAATCGCTGTATTAACTGACGGTTGGTAACTTAAAATGAACAAATTAATAACTGTTGAGTTCAATTAAAATATAGAAATCCTATATGCATCATGTATGCTTTATTTTTTGCGTAGAATGTTCGGAAACTGTTGTAGACGAAATATAATCCCATGCGCTAGAATATTTTCAGTCCAGTGTCTCCTTTTTCTTCATAAATATTACTGTTTAATTCAATTGCACAGAAAAGTCACCAACTTGCCTTTAAAAGGATCATCAATCTAAAGCTGAAGAGAATGATCATCTTTGCTTATATTGATGATCAATTCACCATCAGATATCATTTTTCGCTAAGTGAGCATTTGCTCGTTTTGCTGGAACTTTAATCTTATTCTGACCGAGATATAGCAAATGCGCGCTACTTGGTGATTGGACAAATGCAAGTACAGATTGCTGGTGAAAACGAAGATTTGATTATTTGAAAACTGTAAGAGTTTGGTGAATAAGGTTCAGGTAAGTTCTGAAATCCTGACAGTGGTATGATACTGCAGATGTAAGTTGTGGCCAAGAACCGAAAGGGTCAATATATTGCTTATGCTTCAATTCCGTGATGCTATTATTCATTCTCAATGCATTCAGCTATAAATGTTTTCCCTTTTCAGGACTGAATAATAAGGTATGAAAACTTCTTCGCGGATCTTCTTGCTTGCCTTTGTCGCACTCTACCAAATACAGTTGATTCGATGTAGTGGCTATGGAAATTTCTTATGCAACTATGGGCAAGAATTAAACGCTCTCTGCAATCGTCTGCAAGAATTTCAAGATTCAGCCGACCTCCAAGGTATGTAACTCATAAAACGGTGCCGTGATTTCATTTTTGTGCACATTAATAAAAACTACAAAAGATTCTCTTTGAAAAAAGAAAACGCTAGAATCCTTTACAACAAAAATCCTTTTGGTAAGTTTTAATTTTTCTCACAGAGCAGACATCTTGTGCGGCTGTATATACATGTTCTGTCGAAAGGTTTAGTTTTCAGCCAATCAAAGTCTAACATAAATTAAGCTAGGGTGGAACAAGAAGACTGAGTTTGGTTATTCTTGCCAATTTTTAATAACTGAAATATTGTAAGATAAGGAAATCACTAATGAAAAGAGAAATGTCAGCAACTATAATGCACGTTTTTACGCACGTGCTATCATTTCTTCATAGTGCAAGATCATCTTGGTAGATGAACAATGGTTTGTTTCATTAAATCTAGGATTTCGGGAATATATATTTTTTTTTCACACACTGTATCCCCTAATTCTTTAAATGGCTGTGTTTATTCGATTATCTTTCGGTGTCTGTTTTCAAAATTTTCCTCCTTTTTTTTCCATAGCATGAACGAGTATTGGATTCTACATGAACAGATTAGGGCTCATAATTTGCATTTCAACTATCTTTATATATTATACATTATTTTCGTAACCAAACTAATATATCTTATTTTAAAACGTTATATAAATTATATTGCAGCTCGTTTATTTTTCTGCAGCTATCATTTCCTTCTTAAGAGAGCATATCGGGTTACTTAAAAAAAATTCCCGAACTTGCGACTTTCCAAACTCTATGTAGCCTAATAACTCATTTATCAATCTTATAAACAAGCAAAAATCTGGATTGAAAATATTGAATATTTTCTCCGTTGCGCTCTTTTCCCCTTACAAAAACGTACAACTAGTATGCAACGGTCAAAAACGAAGATAAAATTTTAATAGAAATATCTCTTAAAGAACAACGTCCGTGTAACATTTTCCTATGTTTTGGTGAACAGATTTCAATTAGAATATAGTCGTCTGTTTTAGCTTGAATCATTTTGATTTGATATATCGTTGTTGATATAAACTGTGAATAAAACTAATGTCCGTATTCTTCTGAGTCGTTTTCAATGCAAGTCGACTTAAACTTCTTATCCCAAACTTATCTCAAACCTTTCTGTGATACTCGCTACTGTCTTGGACGATGTCAAGTAATGTGAACTGTTGTTTCCCTTGTGTAGATTTGATTAAGAGGAAAATGCTGGTCACTAGATACGTGTCCGAGGCCTGATGATTTAATTGTAACCTCCAAATAGTTTCAAATAACGTATTTTACACGATTATAGGCTTCGCCACATGGTGCATTGATTTTTAGCGTCTCTAGGAAAGCTGCCTATTCCGCGCCACACGCTCAATGTTATTATGTTTCATGATGGAAATATCATAAAACTGAATTTACCTAACAATTTATCACATTTTTTGTATGTTTCGTTCGTTATGGAACTTTTTAACCTTTTACCATGGGACCAATTAACATCGCTCTTTTTTTTTGTTTATTTTATGAAGGAAAAAAGTTTATTGAGCAAATATTCTCAAATTAACTCACGAATTTTAAGTTTGGTCGCAAAAACGATTAGGGAATACGAAAATGCAATGTTTGATAGTGAAACCAATGACTAAAATTACATTGGGGAACTTACGGGCGATATTCAGTCTCCTTTCATAATATGGCACTTCTGGTTGCTCTTTATAGGATAAAACGCCACTACTGGTCCGCAGAGATTCAACAACATTTGCAGTGTTTGTGTCACTTTAGTAACATCTATCAATACATATTATGCAAGGTCCTATAGTTTATTCAATCTTTTTTCATGAAAATCAAATATTGAGCCTCCCACGGTCGCAAATGCCCAGATTGAAATTAAGTTAAGGTCGCTATTAAATACGCCGGGGAAGAGATGCTAGCCTGCTTTCACTGTTTAGTTTCCCCCCTTGGGTCAACAAATTTTAGCTTGTCATTAAGGATGATCATTAACCGGAATGAAAACCCCATGGTATCCTCTACCATAATCCAAACGTATCAAGGAATGAGAAGGTACAAATATGAACCACATTTTCGTTATATCAGGCAAAAGAATGAAAATGTTGAACAACAGCAAAATTTGTAGAGAAAAAAGTTATAATTACGTGAGTATTAGAATTTGAAGTAAAACAAGCTTTTTAAAAGACTTATTACTCTCAAATTGTATGGGTTTCGTAGATCCTACTGATGTCTTTTCTATGTGGACTCAACACAAATTCTGTGTGTTATGACTCACTAAGAATGTACAAGGAAATATCTTAAACATTGCATTTGTGTCAGGGGAATACACATATTAAATGTTTTCTCATGATAAATCGCCACGAATTCAAACAACGACTTATTCTCTTGTGATTGCCATATATATTTTAAACTAACTCCCAAACTGGGTCGCTAAGTTGATGGAGAAATATCCTCAGGGTAGCATTGGTTTAGGGCAACAAAGAGAAAACGGCACGATAGAAAACGAAAAAGCTGTCCTTGAATGACTTTGACTATTTGTTATCTGCTACGTCTAAAGGACAACCTTAGGCCAAAGTAATAAGAAGTAGATACGTTTTGAAAATAAAAAACACCGACAAAATATAGACCTATTTTAACAATGAAATGGGTCACGAAATCAAGCAGAAACACTCTTGGTCCAGCTACAGGTGCGTTGTGACCTGGTATTCCTAACGCTGGCAGCACATATGGTGCTTTCCCAGTACTGATAAATGCTGGAATCGGAACAAAAGCATAGTACTATAATCTAGATGCATATCTATAGTGCAAACTAGGAGTATGTCATTCACGCTCTGACTCATTGAATTACGATACAAATCACTATGACATGTCCGATACCAGGAACAATGTGTCAAGCATATGTTTATACATAATTCATAGTTGCTGATGAGTTATAACTATTGACGGCCGGTATTGACAACCTAATTATACACTCGGGGAATGTAATCTTGCAAGATTTTCATTGAACAATTATCTTGACTTTTGTCTCTAAATATCGTCAATATGTGTCTATGAGAATGTCAAATTCTACAACCTATGAAATGGCAACCACCCCGTCAAGGACAGTATACTAGTGTATCGCAAGCTACCTTCAGACAAAATCGCATCGTTAAAAGCATAGGAGAAATCATAAACGTTTACCTTTTCACTGGTTAAAAAAATTAATAGATAAAAACTCGAAATCACCCGATGTTTAGAAGGTGCAGAATTTCTAAACAAAAGAGCAAATTAAATTCTGGTTGCCTCAGCAAGCGATGATCCTGCCACCATTTCTGTATATGCTTTTATATATAAAATTTAATGAAAATACATGTACATGTAATAATAATAATGATGTTGACACAAACTTGAAAATGGATTTATTACATATCTATGCAAAGGCCAAATTACGAATTTAACCTCATAGACCAAAACACATGCCCTTGTGTTAACTTAATCTTTCACGTTTAATTGTTTCTAGCACCAGACGACTCCAACTCCATGTGGCGAACGAAACACCGCTTCCAGCTGCGACTAGGACGAAGAGAAGACGAGGGTGACAACGAAGATGACGAAGAGGAATTCGAACATCTCGTTGGAATGCTCGCCCCACATCTTTCACGGCAAAGACGAGCATATTTACGGTTTGGTCGAAGTGCCGAATGGCCTGGCGTTGATGACATCGACGAAAACAAAAGAGCATATCTTAGATTCGGCAAACGAGCCTATTTGCGATTCGGTAGATCAGTAGACAACAAGAGGACCCCAAATAGCGGCGGTATGAGTAATTATATGCGCTTTGGAAGATCGGCCGAACCCCATCATCTTTCAAAGCGGTCAGTCCCAGTCAAACAAGAGGCTACCGAATCAAAAACGAAAGAAAACACCATGAAATCAGCCGCAGTCCCCAACAGTGAAAAGAGATATATGAGGTTCGGCAAAAAATCCAGCGAAGGAGACGAAAAAAGGTACATGCGTTTCGGGAAAAAGTCCACTGAGGATTCGGCTCCAGAAACTCACGCAAAAGAGGAGAAACGTTACATGCGCTTTGGAAAGAAGTCGCAACCCAATGGAGAAGACCCCGAAAAAAGATATATGAGATTTGGAAAGAAATCTATGGAACAAACGGACGAAGACAAGAGATATATGCGTTTCGGCAAGAAATCCCTCGACCAACCAGAAGAAGACAAACGGTACATGCGGTTTGGAAAGAAATCTGCCGAGCAGCAAGAAGAAGACAAGAGATATATGAGATTTGGCAAGAGGTCGGATAATGCTGATGATGATGACGACGCCGAGGAGGCAGTTAAGCGATACATGCGCTTTGGGAAAAAGATGGATCCAGACTTCGAAAAGGCATTGAAGAGATACATGCACTTCGGCAAAAAGACGGACGTATCAGAAGCCATCAAGAGATATATGAGGTTTGGCAAAAAGGCGGACGACAATGATGCTGAAAAGAGATACATGAGATTCGGTAAAAAGAGTGACTCAGATACCGAAAATGAGGAGAAACGTTACATGAGATTTGGCAAAAAAGATAAAGAATTATCAGAAATCAAAAGGTACATGAGGTTTGGAAAAAAAGACCAACCAGCCAAAAACGAAAAACGATACATGCGTTTCGGCAAAAAGAGTACAGTGTAATAAGTTGTGATACCCAGGAACTCATTTTACGACAAAGAGGGGGTTAATTCCATATCATTATTTTTTGTATTGAAAACATTCATGTGATCATACATTTTAGCTGTGAAAAAGGAACGATAATTTTGAGCAATTTTCAAAAGTTAAATCATATCAAGTAATTAAAAGATTAACAGGCAAAATTCAATTAGATGCCAATGACATTAGCCTATTATTGAAAACAGTATTGGATTATATATGTTGTTATATATATATACATATATGTACAGTGTTATTTTGTAAATTACATATAGTTATGTAGTTAAAAGTGATAAGAGCGTCATGGTTTAACGCAAATGATAGTTAGTCGTGTACCATATAGGTGGCGCAGTATGCGTTCGATGGATTCATCTACCGACGCAGGTTGTTTAAAAGAGCTGCAAACATTTTGCCTTGTTGCTTTGAACTGGCATTAAATATAAAACTTATTTTACTAAATTCTGGGTTCTTTGGGGCACAATAAAAAGCAATGACATGGAATCGTTTGATTAGCGTTTTTGATGCCGTAATATGATAACGTCAAAGCCATGCAGAGAGTCAATAAATCTTTTTGTTGCAGGATTGAACAAAAGCTTCGTTTTTCAGTGATAAAATGCAAACATTAGTTTCACTTATTTGGTACAACGAGAAAGATTTTTCCAATCTCTTCGATCACTAAATTTCAGCGAAGTTTAAATATTCTTCAACTGCAGAATAAGACATATAATAGCATATATTTGTCATATGTATATATAAAGACATATAAACTGAATGTCTGATATAAGGTGACAATAAAACAGTATGTTTTAAAGGGAAATGCATTGACACCGCTTAAGTAATGAGTCTTCTTGATCTGTAGATAATGTCAATCTGTAACATCAAGCTGGAAGATTGGAATTCAAATCCTTGTTATCCAAGCACGAATTTCATCAGATTAACATCAGGACACACTGTGTCAGAAAAGAGCAATACGGTTATTATAGGCAGAATTATGACAGGTTGCATAGGTACTTTCAGGAAACATATACTCTGTGAAGGAAACGTACACAGACAAAAAATAATAAATAAATAAATAAATAAAAATAACGAAGCAAAAAAATAATGTATTTATATATACATATTTAAGTGGAATTTGAATTGGTACATTAGAATCCGTGCATTAGTCAACAAATTCATCATCATAAACACAGCATGGTATATATATATATATAATCCAGGAAATGATCAGAAATACGTTGTCTCCATGCAACCGAGGCTCTTCTAAGCTGCATGAGGTACAATACGGAAATATTTGAAAGCAACTTCACATAGTGCTTCACTTGGGTCTTCAACAACTCTGGGCGTCCTTTGTAATAGATATTTACAAAGAGTTCAAACAGAATTATCATAACACTTCTGCTCTCTTTACTGAAACATTCAAAACTGCAGGGCACCACGAAGTATCCTTTGTAGTGATAAGAAGTCTGAATTCCTCTGCCTTAGGTTAAATATTGTTTCAAAACATAGCATACGTGTGTATTCTAGCGCAGGGCCGTGATCAGACTAGGGCCAAAAGGTTCGAATTCAATTTGATCTAAGTGACGTTAGCCCTCTTTATTGTAATCAAACAGGTTCCCGCACAGCAAAACAAACACTGCATCAAACTTTGCAACAGTTTTCATGTCCGACTTGCAAAGAATGCTTCTTGGGTGCTGCCTCGTTTACAGCAAGAACTGCCAACGCTATTTAGACCGCTTATAAATCGAACCGTCAAATCCTGGTTGAAACATGGTGTAAAGAGCATCTTGGAAAATCTGCTAAACAGGTGATTGTTCTAATTAAAAAGCCAAGGTATGGGGCCTGTAAGCCCATATAACAGTGCCGAGTTTGTTCTGAAAACAAAATAAAGCCTTGTAGGCACGTGTGGAAATATGTTACTTTTGGGGTATCTTACATAGGATTCCTGCTATTACGAACGTCTTCAAATTAAAGTCCTCTTTGTTGTTTATTACTTGAACCATGTTAAGCAATATCCATATCCTTCAGTGCTTGCAAAAACTTTCTCTTTAATTATCATTATTATTTTTATTATTATTATTATTATTATAATTATTATTATTATTATTATTATTATTATTATTATTATTATTATTATTATTATTTTGTGGATTTCATTTAATTATTTTATGGGGGGTCTAGAAATGTTTTTTACAGTATTTAATAATTTATTGCTGTCCTTTGATTAATAAACACATTAGAAAGTTGAATCGTAGTTGATGAGTATTAGTGTAAAATAGGCCTGGCTCGTATAAAACACACATGTAAGATCATGCCATACAGGTATACATTTATAATTAGGTGCAGTATTTTCGTAATGCTACAATCTGGAATTAAGAAAAAGCTCATAGGTTATCGAAAATGAGAAAATACAATGACAGAAATTCAACTCCGATGTTTTGAACAGATTACAACATTCCGGACACGTCCACTGACGGTCTCCAACAACATACAAGAGGCGGGAACTTAGACTAGAAACGAAGCTTGTTTTAAGGAAGGAACCGATCCGGGATTTTTGTGCCAAACCTGCTTTTTCTCGAGAAAAAAAGCACGAATCCTTGCTCGACTTTGTCTGGATCCGCACAAATTTAGCAATGAATATAAAAATTCCTGTCCCTGCACTTGTATTGGAGTTTTTGTACCACCATGTTTGCCTGACATATTAGAAGGAAATACCGATGCCATGTGCTTTTATTCGAGGGCTTTATCATTTTAAAGGTCTGGATTAGGAAAGAAATTTAGCTACGCGGGGACTTAAGACATAGAAAATATAACATTGGAACATTCTCAAACACGTGCTATAAACTCCTGACTTTAAAAACCTCGACGCATTTACCCTCCAATGCAGCAGGTTAATCGAAACCACTTTGTCGAAGCACTGACCAAATGAAGATTGTCAAAGACCAATAGGCCATTTTACTAAATCAAAATCTCTAAACTTAATTCTCAATTCAATCACTCCTGCCCGTGAGACTTCGGTTGCATAATGGGCCAAGAGCAATTACATAACAAAGCTATTAAATATTCAAGTCCGAAGTAAACGAAGACGCATGTGGAAGCTTAAAAGCCGTCAACTAATTTATAATTAAGTTTACAATTTGGCCAACATCTAAGAAGTAGGATACAAAGTAGGCGTACCTGACAGTTTTCAGTGTTTTCGATAGCGGCCGCCATAACTCACGAAGTCTGTAGCCAGCAATTTCAAAGAGGGGCCCTTTATTACGAAAAAACTTTATGCACCTTATTTGATCCAATTTGAGAAATGGCGTAGAACCTAGATCAATTTGATTCAGAGCAGACCTTTTCTGACCAAAAAAATTTTTTTTCTGAACCCCCGAACCCCCTGTCAACGGGTGTGCTCAGTCTGAGTCAAACTAAATCGAAAGACGGGCGGACAGTCAGACAGTTGGACGGTCAGACTAATGCTTTCATATAAAGTATGAAATATGTAAAATGCCACCTCAGAAAAAAACATGGGCTCAACCATGAACAATGAGTTAATTCTAAAATGCAGAGAATAGCGTAGTTTCACTAGAACCACTGAGAATATGTCCCGATGAGGGAAAACGGTTCCATTTTTAGTTTATATAATACATGCAATTACTGCAATGCGTTAGCAGGTGTCCATTTCCCCGATTTCATTTCACAACGTAATAACCACACACTGCAGCTTTGCGTTAACAGGCAATTTAGCATTTCGTATAATGCTTGGAATTAGGTCTTGATGTGGCTGTTACGTAATGTAATGAGCCATGTATTTGCCTGATCAATTCCATTAGAATTACCCTCTCATTAGCCTTTTATCAGGTAAGTATCGAAATAGACCACGTTAAAAACACGTTAAAAACTAAACAACGGGGTTAAACAGATAAAGTTGCTGAGAAAATTGCAGTGAAATCAAACCATGCCTTGTTTTCGCATGGGAACCGAATTCTCATCTCTCGTACGCCTTTTCTTATTGATTCAACGATCCTTCAGTTGCGTCATGTAACTCACCGGAGATACCTATGTGCCCTTTGGGGTTTTGGATGTAAAATTGCTTTCGTAAGGCAGATACTAGTCTCGTTGAAAATGTTTTTGGATTCAGTGATTGAACAATCTGCGTTGAAAAATGTTACGGAACATTGTAATCATCGACTTGATGCATGATGGATGATTGGTAGTATGCACATCGTGGGCTGCCACATCGCCCCCGGATTATGTAATGAACAGGAGTGGAGAAAAAGCTTTTTCTGAAAACAATCCTGTTATTAAGAATGTGTACTTGATACATATTTTTTCTTGATTACCGTAGAAAACAGCTAAATAATATGAAGTAATAATTCAGGCTATTTACCAATGATTTTTTCAAATTATTCAATCATCTAATAAAATGTTGGTAGATTTGAAGGTATCTTAGACCCAGGTTATGATTTCTACTTTGCCATAGTATTTCAGAATTATCATATTGAAGCTCGTTTTTAGTGGTATTGCATGCAATAACAGGATATCAACTTTAATGAAATAAGTAAGTCATAAACGTCGTGCCACATCTGCAACAAAAGAAAAAAAAGCCATCGTTGTTAAGTGCGCTATTTATGTATAATTTTTTGTGCGGGGTTGTTTTAATGTCAGCGCGAAAAAAAAACTAGTGTGATGTTGTTTGCATCCGTTAATTGTTATGGAAATTAGCATTATAGTACTTGATGCGAACTTTTTTGATCATTCAAGACCCAAAAGGTTAGCTAAGATCTTGAATTTCAGATTGTCACCTTTGAACGGTGGTGCAACTGCTATGAGTTCAAATATTACAATTAGTTTCAGTTCTCAGAAATCTCCAGGTTTTCATTAGTAGCACAGCTATGGTTAAGCTTCAAGATGAAATAGAAATAGAATATATGGTACACGGATAATCCGGATTTTTACCGTTATGACGGCGCAAAGCAGCACGACATGTAACGTCATGTCGATTTCGGGGCTCAAAATTTCGCGTCTATGAGGCCGAGCAAAGTGCAAATTGACATGGTGCACGTCGCACGTTGCATTTCGCATGTTGAGGGCCATCTGAAAGACGCACGCACAGGCTCCAATGGGCAATGGTACTGCAATCGTTTAGGACAAAATGAAGACGTAAAAGACATCGAATACAGGACATAGAGACAGACTGTCCCTTACCTAGACCACAAGTTGTACGTCAATAACTACCCTCATACAGAATATGACACGTTGAACGCAACCAATCACACTCGGTCTAAAGCAGTAGTCGATTTCTTTGCGATGTGGTGTTGACTTTGCAAAATAGCCAAAATAGTGTGTTAAAGTCTACAACATTATTTTATGTCAAGAAAAAAATCTGAATTCAAACATAAAATATTAATTTAAACATAAAGTTAAAAAATCTAAAAAAATTATTGAGGGGTACGTATAGGAGTCACAAGGTACTTGTCTCCCACCTTTAGTATAGATACATTTTATT